TTGTGTTATTATATTTTAAAAAATTATTATCGTTCCGTATGTGTTTCAAAATGTCTTTTAAATTACTAACAACAAATATGAAAGACTAAGTGCAACGTTGTAACAAATTTCATTTCCGTCCAAATTAAGAATGATATGGCTCATCGAAAACTGCGCGAACGAACATAAACAGTGGCGTAATCGTCCGTTATCGACCGACTCCAGACCGATTTTGAATTTCTAAACTGTCATTGCTACGGATAGTTGAGATTGTGCTCTGGAGGAAACAATTTGTATCACTCTTGCTACGGATATAATTTGTAATCTGGAATTTTTTGCATACCTTTTTAATACGTATTTAATTGCGGCTCGCGAAAAATTTCAAATTTTGAAAAATGGCTCGGACTATCAAGGAGCTTGGCCACCCTGGTTATATAAAATTGGGGTTGCGTAATCGTCCGAAATTATATGATATTTTTGACTGGAAATCACTGGATTTATGCAATTTTAGTTTAATTAATGTCGTATAAAACTGACTGCTCGTACGAGTTTGCTTAAAACACGCGACTCGAAAAACCCCAAAATGGCGGCTCAAGAAGTATGTCACGCGTGTCCTGACCTTCTTATAAAGACCTTGGTCGAGTGTAGCATTGTATATTTTCGATGGAAAAACTATTACTTTCAGAAAATAAAACAGCATATTTTTTAAATAAAAAATAATCAATTTCAATAAATTGTAATTATTATTACAAGTATTTATGAAAAAGTTCTTCCGAATTTACTCAAGAACAAAGATATTTAAATTATTTAATGATACTTCTGCCTCCGATTATATTATACATAAAGGGTTATAACTGCCTAATAATATTTAAGTTACAGTTTAATACAGATTTTTAACATTTCCTTACATAACATTACTCCTAAATATTCTTTAGTTAAGTTTATAGAATTTACTTTTACGTAAAAGCAATTTTAATGTTATTTCTTCGAAACTTTATTTAGTTTGTTAATCGATACTACACTATTATTTATAGTTTTATTTCTATTTATTTTACGAATATAACAGATCTCCATACGAATATAAGCCATTTTATAAAGATTTATATTAGAATTTGTTTGATTCTTATAGTTACTTGTTAACTAAATTATAGGCTAATTATATGTAAAAATTATATATTAATAAGAATCATAGGAAAATTATAAAGTTAATTTAACTTCTAAATACTGTATTTATNAGTTTATGGCTAAAAAATATTCTGTATTAAAAATTTGTTATCATATATCATAACAGACGGACACACAGACGGACGACAGTGGGAATTTATAGGTCCACAATTTTTTCAAATTGTACTCCAATAAATTTAAATAAAATATACATAGATCCAAAATAATAAAAATTAAGTTTTATAAATTTATAACATTTTTATAAATGTTTAAAATACTCGCATTACTAATTAAATAATTTTATGCTAGTTATAACAGATGTGTTTTTGTAATTTACTATAGATACAACAGTATGTTCTATAACGCATTTCTATAATCGCTAGATTTACAGAACGCAACTACAGTATTGCATTTTAAAAGAACATACTGTACAGTACATAGCAAGATATACTATATTGTAATCATATATAATACATAAAAATAGTTTGTGCAGATGAATTAATGGATTCTTTGAGTAGTTAATTACAAAAGCACTTAATGTAGCAATAAGATGTTAATCACAATAAGAATTCAATAAAAAAAACTGCATTTAATACTTCTGAACAATCTTTTCGTTCAAATTTATTGTTTAATTAAGATTTAACTTTCTTTTTCATTACTACATATAAAACTATACAGTATTTATGCATATCTAAATACATATGTAGATATGCATAAATATAGCATCTTTTCTTGAATAATAAATTGCTAACCTTTTCTGCCAATTACTTTTGCGCATTTCATTGCCACTTGAAAATTCTTGAAAACTTAGTCTTTTTTGGAACTATTTGAACTAGAAAAAAAAAATACTGAACAGTGCGTCATTGCAAGTTAAAATGTAAATAGACAATTATTTTCCTTCTAAAGCCCATGTATTTTACTTATTTTGTATCGAAACAATAGCACTTTGAATTGTCTCCATGTCTGGCTTTTAATGTCAACTATCAGGAAATTTCATGAACTGAGCAAGACGGGTGAAAGAGAACTTTTTGACTAGTAGTTATCGTAGGCCACAGTTTATTATAGTTTGACATTTATTAATTTTAATTAACAATCTATTTTTATTATTAGCAAAATTTGAATATCAATCTAATTTGCAGTTTAAATGTTTTTGCTTGAAGAAATGTATCGATAGTTTATCAAAATACTATGAGTCACCAATCAATAAATCATTCCTTCAAAAAACCAAACAAATTCGAATGATCGAATCTTTTGAGCTGAATGAAATGATTTGATCAGTGAAAAGAATCATTTCGCCACTCACTAGCTCACCGTGCTAATGATAAAATGTGAGAATTCGAATATCAGCAATTTAAAAACATTTAAAGAAAATTAAAATGTAACAGATAAAAAAGTAATAACAATTGGAAATAAAAGATAGTTTACATATTATTTTAATGCTCATAGAGCAGAGAGGAAAAAATGAATGAAGAAAGAAACTTCTTAAATTTTATCATTGTTTATTTTTAAAATTAACTCAAAGAAATAATAATATTTGTTAAATAATTTAACGTATAAATTTAGATTCTAATTAGCTAATTATTGTATATTTATGTAAATTTAAACTATTGATAATCTTTGTATTAATATGAAAATTTCTAGCAGGCCTATATCTTAAATTGTAATTAAAGATTACTTTATAATTTATTTCAGAACAACCATAAATCCATGTTAAAATGCGGATTTATTGAGATATATCAATATAAAATACGCAAACACATTCACAAATTTATTTTAAAATAATTTGTGTAATTATAAAAAGTTTTTCCATGAATATAGTATGGAAATATTCTATTCGGAAACAAAAAAATTAAATATTTATTGCTTTGAATTCGATAAAATTACTCAAAAGATCTACATTGTTTTTAAACATACTCTATATGAAAACTGTACCTGTATTCAGTTTATTTATTTAGGTTAAGACATATATAATATTCGCTTTTTAATTAATATAAATATACGCTATCATCATATAACAAAGATAACATTTGACCCACTACTGTAAAAAGTTCGACTGTAACTTACCAATTTTTAACTATTAGTTTACAAGTATGTCAATAACGATTTATCTATAATTCTATTTTCCTCTTAGTCTTTATGAAAATTTTCACTAATGCAAGTAATTAAGAAATTAATTATCAGAAAAAAATCAATTCGTAATTACAATTAAACATCAACAATTGCATTTAAATTTAAATTTTAAAAATTAATTTTTAAATATAATTTATAATGCACACTCAAAATTTCAAATTTGTGTATAAAAAAACAATTTTTGCTTGTACTAAAACTTTAAAAAAGCAATATCCTCCCATTAAACGCTTAATCACCATAGTAATTTATCAGACAATCAGATTGATTTTTGTAAATTATCTGTTAAGCTAAGTGGAATGTACTGTACACTGAAAGCAATAACATTTCACAGCTGATTTTTGGAAATTGAGTTCGTTCTCAAAGATGTCTTTTTTTTAAATAATCAAATGTTAAATTCCATCATTACTAAAAGAGTATAAGTTTGTTTTCATATAACTGGAGAGAAATGTACATCGAAACAAGATAATTTAATTATCTAATCTATTAAATACAGATAAATTTGACGTTTTGCTATACAGATTCTTTGGTATTATAGACTTGCGCTTTGCCAAGGCCATCTTTGAAAAATGGGAATAATATCATCACGACTGAAGGTAAAACTTTTTAAATTTGCGCGTTAAAATCTTTCAGAACTATAAATGAACTTGGTAATAACATTGACAATATGTTAAATGCAATAGAATAGTACTAATACACTAATTTCTTCTAATCAGTAAACTAAATTCATTGAACATAGTAAATATATTTTTATTCTTCATTTGAAATAAATACTTTATTTTAAATACATTTATAATATTTATTAAATCATATTAATTATTTTTATTTAAGAACTTTATCTATTTACTTAGGAATGAGTTAAGATTCTTTAAAAAGAAATTTCCTCCTAGCTTTTACAAATTCTTTTTAATGCTGATCATTAAAAAGAATATGTAATTAATAATGCTCAGCATTTAAAACTAATATCAGTTTTCTTTCTTACAATATAATTCACAATAAATTGAAATCCCTCTCCAAAGGTATAATAATTTCAAGGCATCTGTGTTCTCAATTTTGTTATCTGCTTATATCAAAATAAATAATAACTCCAAAATATATTTTTTAATCTGGTTTTAAAAGTCTAATTATATTCTAATATAAAAAAGAAAAAGTCTTCTTGTTTTTAATATATTGATATAATACATACTTAAAACTGATTTAAAGATTGATTCATGATTACATTTAAACATGTTTTCAACACACACAAATCTGAAATATTGTGGAAAATTTAGCAGTTATAACATTTATATAAATGTAATAGAAAATACAATTTTAATGGCTTTATTATTTGATAAATTTATCACAAAATAATGATTACTTTTATCAAATAACTGTATCATTACTATTGTATTTCTATTGTTCTAATAGTAATATATTATTTTATTTACTCATGAATCCTTTTTAAAATTAATCATAATTGATAAAATACATTAATTTAATTTTTAAACATTTTTTAAGATTTTGCTTATTTTTTACAAATTATTAATTTTTATATTTGTGTATTTTGAAAAAAAAAGTGAAATTTTAAAGTAATTCACAGTACATTAATTCTAAAATAAATTGACTTAATTAATGAATTCAATAATAAATTCTGATTAAATATGAACAATTTATTATATGTAATATTTATGTGTTTTATGTAGGCTATAAAGAACACTTAAACATATTTAATTTTTAATGTTTTTAGCAAATAAAAAATGCTCAGAAATATAAAAACAACATTCAAAATCAGAAAAAGTATCTTATTAATACTTTATTCCTTTATACTGTCCTACTATATGTTGTTGCTGCCTGCATCATTTATTCCCATGAATTCCCTAATTCATTGGTAGAATGTATTTTATGTTATGGACCACTTGTGGGATTTCTTTTTGTGTAAGTATAATATTCCTATTTATAATCAAGTTAATTAGATAAATAATAAAGTAATATTAAATTTATAGAATATGGTTTTTGAAAATGTTATTGACATGGTATTTCCATCGTGAAGCTCAAAACAATGAGGAACTTTTGGATAAATTAAAAGAAAGAAAACATCAAATTTTAGATCATGTAATGAAAACAAAAACATTTAATGAAGCACAAGAAATTCTTGCAGAATTTCGTCCAGGTTATGTAAAAAATATAGAATCAGTAAGTAGTAATTTTTTTTTCAATTTGAAAAAACTTAAGAATTATGATTGATATCATTATAAAAAAGAGCTAATTTATAAATGTAAAAAAATATTCATTTTTGAATATCAAAATAAGTTATAAAATTTATATTTATCTAATCAAACCATTATCTATAGCTATCTTTTAACAAATTCTTCATTCTTTTTTTTAATCGATAATTGGATGTTGCTACTGTTATTAACATTTATATACAGATAATTCAATTTTTGGTGAAATACTGAGAATTATTCTGAGAATTACCTTTTGCATTTACTATATTTAAAACATTTACAATATATCTAAACAAAATATATAAACTTGAAAAAATAACATTTACATTTATACATTCTTTCATTTTTATTTTTGTTAAATTTATATTTAATAGCTAATAGAAACTTTTAAAAATCTTCCATATGTAATAATGTTTCATATGAGTAGAATATTTTATAGTTAATTTATAATCATCTGAATTTCTATGAACGTTATCTAATACACTGTATATATTATATCAAAATTATCACAGCAGCAATTCCCACAAACTATAAAAAATGGCATCATACCTTATGCAAGAAGCTTCAAACTCTTAAGATTCAATATCGGGCCAGTGCTTCCACAAGGTGAAGCTAGTTACACTCTCATGCCTAACTTGGTCTTAAAAACAAGGAATGTACTTCTGGTCAACATATGACAAAGCTGCATGGACCAATGAACAAATATCATTCATTAGTTTATTTTATATTTGCAGAATAAGCTAGAAGTCACAAATTCTCTGTTGTTTATTGATAATGGAATTTGGGGCCCCTAGGGGATTAGGAAAAGGGCAACCAAGACAAAAAAGGTGAGCAAGTGCCCAAATGTACAGGAAACCCCTGTATCACAATTGACTCAGTTTAGGTGTGACAATTATCTACAAATTCTGTCAGTTTGTGAAGATAAAATTTAGACATTTTGAAAAAAATTTATTGACAATTTTAACTGAACAATGATTAAAGTTCAGTCTTGTAGGTACTGTCATCAATATCAATCATACCTTGCCATCTTTCCTGCAAACTTTCAATCCTATGAGCATAAAATGATGGGTTTTTCTTTGAAGATAATCTCAAATGTCATTCTCACATGGGTATTGTCACTGAACTGTTTATTGGCAATATGGTTCTGCAGGGTGCAAAATAGATGATCAGTTGATGTTCTGTCTATCATCTTATAGTCCACTATAAGATGATAGATAGAACATCCCAGCAAAAACTGGCCAGCTTCTCTAAGATCATCTTTGCTCTGTGCTGGCATGTTGTTATGATGGTATTGGACACTGTCAATTTTTGGAGTATATGGGAAAACTCAAGTTATGCTAAACAACTTTGATTAGTTTTAATTCTCCAATAGTCAACCGTGGATTATTATCCATCAGTTTCAAGAGAATGTCATCATCAATGGTAGAATCACTGTCTGGATGCGGTTCATGTTGAAACAAGAAATCTCCATCCTTGAATTTTTTGAACCAATTGTAGCAAGTATGCTTGTTGACTGTTTCTTTGTGAAATGCCTTGAAGATTGTAAGCCTTCATTGTGTTGTGGCCATTTTTGAAGTAAGAGAACAACAGCATGCAAATGTGTTCTTTTAAAAGTTTCACATCATCAGACAATGCTGATGCATCTAATTCCAATGAAATACTGTATGTGATGAAATGTCCTCCGGTTACTTATATACCCACATTGAATATTCTAAAACTTTTTTTCTAGTTGTTTATAAAAAAAATCCAAATGTCTAAATTTCACCTTTACAATCTGATTTACATACAACCTGAAATGAAATTGATCATTTATATCATTTAGTGCATAGTATTTTCATTCTTCTTCAACATTTAGTTTTTGTCACATAATTATATGAAAAATTTATTATCAACTAACCCAAATTAACAGTAATTTATAAATATTTTATACACTTTATATATAGAAAATATTTAATAATTGCACATTATAATATGCAATTTTTAAATACTGAAATATTTTCATCAGAAATTCAAATAGTGGAAACATTTGCAAAATTTTCAATATATTATAAAGTTGATTTAACTTCTAAATACTGTATTTATTCTAATAAATAATATCCTCTAAAAGTAACTGCCCTGTAATAAAAGTGCAGCTGCAAGATGAAAAAACTTATAGACAGCACCCTCTAATAGTAAGTGCAGAGTGCAGTGTCTATTTGAGGAAGATAAGACTGTGTAATTTTTCAGTTTACAATAATTCTATTCAGCATTGTCACTCTTACCATATGTTGAAGTAAAGTGTGTTGGTGTTGTGTTGTTGTTCAAATAATAATAAAGGAAAAAAAATTACTGAATTTGTTCCGTTAATAGCTGCCTGAAATAATAGTCATACTTAATTCCCTAAGAATTAAAATAATACCACCCTATAACAATAAGTGCACTCTAATAAACAGCATAGCTGCAAGTGAAAAGTAAGTGTGCTGTTTATTAGAATAAATATGCACAAACTTATGATTTTAATATTAAATTCTAGTTATAATTATCACAAGAAGTTTTCTAATTTATGCATTTAAAATACTTTTTAAAAAAATCCTTACATACTAATTAATGTTAATAAACATTTCAGAACTTAGCAGTTGATAAGTCCTTGATTAATTTTATAAATTTATCTAGGGGATACTTATGGTGCTCAGCACCTCCTTGTTAGGCTGCAATTTGAAAAATTAGAGCTATAAATTCTCTGTCATCCATCTGTCTGTTTCTCTGTCTGTCCTTCCTTCCTTAATCTTGAGAACTGAGTTAGATAGATGAAAATTGAGAGTGGATATGGAGAGCTTGGAGGCAGAAGCCCCAATTAAATATACATAAATTTTTGAATTGAAATCATGAGCCTGCCAACTAGAACAGAAGTCTCATAATTTCAATTCAAAAATTTTCCCTTGAAAGGAGTTAGATAGATGACAAACAGGAAAGTATGATGTACAGGAGCAAGATACCACAGAGCATATACAGTACAGTGGTGATTGGTTAACGAACAGTTCAGTTAATGAACAAATCAATAAAAATCTTTCACAAAAGTGTTTGTTATGTTTGGACAACGAACACTTTACAGAACAAACACAAGAAGAAGTGATGTAAAATAATGAATACTGATTGGTCTTCCCTTGTCTTCAGGCAACAATTCGAAACTTTTCGGAGCATGGGAGATGTCAACATCAATGCTCAACCTGGTATATAGTGATCTGATAGTATTCCTCCAAACTTTGAAACTCTCCCTTATAATTCCAATCTTTTATTTTTCTGACAGAAACAATTCTCTTATAGTATTCGCAAGACTGTCAAGCAGAACTCATTAAGTTTTGCATCAGTTTTTATTTTTGAAAGGTGAGAGTATAATAGCAAAAGTAGAAAGTGGGCAGAAGATGTCTGATGTTGCTGGGCAGTATGGCTTGACCAGGTCTACAGGCTTAAACAAGTCTTCAATCTTATCTAAGAAAGATACTGTATAATCAAGAAGACTCAAGCAGCTAAATGAGTAACAAAAATCACATCTGAGAAATAAAGAACATTGAAGAACTCATAATAGAACCTGAAACAGATCTAATGACAAAAGAATGTCAAGAACTCTTGAATGAATGACACCAAGAAACTCTGTGAGATATTTTCTTCTGAAAAAGAGGATTAATGCCGATATTTGCTATTAAAGATCTTTTGAAGAAGTGGGAGGATGTCAGAACAACAGTCTTAGAATGGCATCCAAACCAGGTTGAGGTTAATGGGCTTAGGGATCTCTACAATGACAATGCTATTAATTACTTCTGAAAAATCCTGAAGAAGAGAGAAGCAATCGACATTGGACAGATTCTTTAATGCCCCACAAACAGAAAAAACATGACTGATAAAAATGCAAGACTGTGTATATAAGTTTTTTTATTATTACATATAAATAAACATAGTAAGAAAGTGTGTATTTTTTATTTTTTGGGGTCTCCAGAATGAATTAATCAAATTCCCATAAAAACCTATGGTAAATCGATAATCGGTTAACGAACAATTTGGATAGTGAACAAAATCTTGGAATGGATTATATTTGTTAACTGATCACCCACTGTATTTTAAATTAAATAAAGTTAAAAAATATGATTAAAAATTGCAGCCCAGGATTGTGACAAATAATTGCTTGTTACTATAGTAGTCAATTTTGTTACTTTACAAAAAAAAATAAATATAACAACAAATATCACACAAATTAGGTAACAATTAGGTAACTGAAAAACGACAGAGGGACATGTGTCTTGGTGTCCTCAAATTTGCCTTATTCTCAGCACCCATATTCTCAAGATCCTAGACAGGCCACTGAAATTAATGTATTTTATAGCAGAAATCATCTAAACAACTTATATATATTTTTCATTATATATTGAAAAAATATTTATTATAATTATATATTATTTATATAATTATATTATAAACATAATAATATCAAAATATAATTTTACTATTAAAAATTAATATAAAATGAGATTTTAAGACTGATTTTCATAAATTTAAATGTGTAAATTTCAGATTAACTTTCGTAAGAAGACACCAAAAGGTAAATATCATTAATTATACAAATAATAAGCTTACATTATTATATGTTTTCATACAAGAAACATAATATACACATTTGATATAATAAATGACTTAATGTAATGTTTTATTAAAAATTATTTTATCATTGGGAAACAGAGTTGTAGTCCATTAATTTTATGACAGAAATTATAAAAATTAAAAACACATGAGAGAAAAGATATAACAAACTTTTTTACTTAGTGTAATCCATCAGTATTTATGCAGGCTTTAGTGCAGTCATATAATTTTTTGATAATTATTTTAATTTCTTGGTCACAGATTATAGATGATGGTAACATCTACAAATTGGTATCCTTTAAGCTTCACTTTCAACTTGAGAAATAGAAAATAGTCTGAAAGGACAAATCTGAGTAAGGGAGTGAAATAGTTAGAGATTCTTGTTTGTGTCAGAAGTTGATACATGCTTGCATCTTTGTGAACAGGCATATTATTGCATAAAAAGAAAAATCTTTGGACCAGAATGCAGGGGGTAAATACATTAAATGTATTTCAGATAATAATCCTATACTTCTTTATAAAATTCTGCATTCATTCTTTTCCCTTTGGTATGGATTCTTTGTGAATTGAGCATTATGGAGCTAGAAATTTTATCATTAACACTTTGGTTCATGACTTTTGGAATTTCAATTCATTTTGTCTGTGACATTAGACTGATTCAAAACATCATTACCATATGTTTTTCTTAAGCAGGAAAACCTGCTTTAAAACAAAATGTAATTGCAATTCTCCATTCACTTTTCAAATCCACATCACTGCAACAAAAATACAGTTTTCAATAAATGTTATTATGTACAAATTTCTGAATGTACAGTACACTAATACTGCAAATGAACAGATGAAAATTGCTTAATTACACAATGGCAATACATTGCTAAACTACTGTTCTGACAAAAAATTACATCTTGTAATATAAAGTATAGTTCATTAATTACAAAAATATAAAAGACAATATTGTAGAATTTATCATTGGCAGAATTTTCAATTTTGTTGTTATTTTATTTTCATATTTAGATATTAAAATGTGCTAATATGGAGAAAGTCTAAAATAAAATTTAGAAAGTAGTTTAAATGGAAAATCATTGGTGATAACCAAATTTTGTTTATTATTTTTAAACTGTATTATAAAATTATTCTGATTTTATAAAAGAAAACTGGTTATATATACTGTATATATATATATTATATAGAAATCTTCATATCTTAATTTAAATTGTTTTTCCATTAGGTCTGCATAACTTTTTATTAATCTTATAAATTAAAACAGTTCAAATCATCTCAAATTATTTAATTAAATCTGATAAATTTAATAATAAATTTAAATATTTGATTATACAAATGAATTAAAAATCTTCATGGAAAGCAAAGGTATTTATTAAAAAAAATCAAGATTTTATTGTAAATAAACTTGAGTTGTATTTACACTGTAATTATACTATAAGCCCAATTTATTTTATTACATGAATAATTATTTCACTAAAACAAGAAGGAATGATATGAAAATGAATTGGCAAATGAATTACAAATTTTAATGAAACTAAATATTTGTTTAAAATTATTTATTGCTATAAATGTAAATTTTCTGATGAAGGAAGATGATAGTGTTGTCTTGTATTATAAGTTTAATGGCATCAATATACTATATTGAAAAGCTTTAGAAAACATTAGTTTTTAAAATATTTTAATTAGCTCTCAGAAATTTATTAAAGAAATTACAGTTTTTACCAATTTAAAAAATACTATTATGACATTTTAAATTCATGCATTTTAATTATAATAAAAGTTTTCAATTTTCTTTAATAATTTATTTATAGGAAAACAAAAAGAAGAAACAAATTCAATTAATAATAGTATTTTCAGCACTTTTTTTAACTATTTATTCAGAAGACAGCAACATGATCAACCATCAAATAATTTTGCTCTTATTTGCCAAAAGTGTTCTGGACACAATGGATTAGTTGGAAAAGATCAATATGAAAATGCTGGTAATATAACTTTTTTGAAATCAAAATATTTTAAATTGTAATTGCTTTAACTATTTTCTTAATTCATCATAATTTATGTTTAGAAAATTTAAATTATATGGAATAAAAATTTAATTTCTTTCTATTTTCAATGAAATTTATTTTATTCTTTTATTCAGGATTGACTCATTCTAGTCTAAATATATCTAAAATATATATGTAATTACATTTTAATTCCTCTAAACTCTTAGTTATGCATGTTTAGAAATACTTGCCTAATCTAATAGCAAATAAAAAAATGGGGAGATTTTACTAATCTATATAAAAATTCAACAGAAGTTTTGAATTTATCTATGTCTTTTATATTTTAGTATATTCCAGAGATAGAAAGAACTAAAAGTACAGTCAATTCCACTTAATTGGAATTGACTGTACTTTTAGCTGTCCCAATAAAGCAAAATTTTAAGGGAACAGAGAAAATATAAGATAAAAAAATGTGTAATAAAGACATTATTTTTTTTGCATAAAAATCAAACAATATTTACATAAAAACGACTTGACCCAGGATTATCTTCATTTTGAAGTTTTAAAAGACAACTTGCATAAAAACATTTATAATTTTTTTTGAGTCTGTCTTTTGAAACTTCAAAAAGACATATTTTTCAATAAATAGGTTTTAATTAATATTCAGTGTGAATACATATACATATATATGTGGTGTGTTCAAAAAGTATCGGACCTTTGGTCGGCAAGAATAAATTTATTGACTTTGAGGTACAAAACCCTAATCCCCTTCAAAGTAGTCTCCTTGGTAATGTATACACTTCTCCCAGCGTTCCTGCCATTGCTGGAAACACTGCTGGAACGCATCTTTTGGAATGGCCATCAGCCGGTCCGTCGGATTCTGCACGATGTCTTCTCTCGACTAAATTCGGGTTCCTTTTAGTGGCATTTTCAGCTTGGGAAATAGCCAAAGGTCACACGGAGCCATGTGGGGAGAGTACGGAGTGTGACGAACCACAGGAGTATTGTGTTTGGCGACGAAAGCCCGAATCAGATGCGCAGAATGGGCGGATGCGTTATCACGATGGAGCTGCCAAGTTTTGATCGACCACAGATCTGGTCGTTTGCGTCGCACTGTATCGGAAAGACGACGAAGGACCTCCTGGTAGTACTCCTTTGCGATGGTTTGGCCTTGTGGTGCGTACTCACGACTCACCACCCCACAAGAGTCGAAAAAACTGTCAACATGACCTTTGATATTGATGCGGACCTGCCGCGCTTTTTTTGGCCTCGAGGATCGTCCCCAAAAGCCTGCTGAATCTTGCGAATGGTTTACGCTCAGGTATCGCCAAGGTTTTTGGCAAAATTTGATGTAATATCGCTGCTCACGTTGTTCAGTCATTTTCCAGCTTAGTGGAATCTGACGAGAGTGCACTACATGACCTCACTCATAGGCCGATTGCCAACGACTGACGCTTCCTGCAGGCGGGAAAAAATTCAGGGCTGTGCATGACTGTCCCCTCCACAACTCCACCGAAGGAGGCCTCTCGTGCATCATTGGTTTATGCGGAAAAAAAAAGGTCCGATACTTTTTGAACAGACCACGTATAAACAAATCTGTAAATCACTGAGACTTGGCATGCTTTCCAATGATTATCAACTTCTGTTCATTGCTTCCTGACATATTACAGCATTACAATATAGTAATGTGATCCATTCCTTTTTTTTTTTTTTGAACCTGACAGTACTTCATGTTTAAAACTCGAAACCATTGGGGATGGCACAGCAAAATGGACGTTTCATCTGCATTATAGATTTGATCAGGATTAAATTTCTGTAACAATTGAGACAACTTGATTTTAGTTCCACTCAAAACACATTCAACAAAACCTTTAACATCCAGTAATGAAAATTTTAATATAAAAATTTTGATGAATGTTTTTGACCTGATGCATATCTTGTTTAACATTGATCAAAGTTTTTACATTTAAAATTTTCATTACTGGATGTTAAAGGTTTGTTGAATGTGTTTTGTAATTTGTTCCAGTTATTGAGAAGAAGATAATTTATTTCTACTTTTTGGTGCTCTTAGTGTCAGCATTATTTTTTCACTGTTAAATTTTACTTTGTCAGGTTTTCCATTATGATAACTACCTATCTGTAACTTTGAAATTCATTGAACCATCTTTGTAGCTAACTCTTCTAATTTGTTTTTAAGATTGGCCCATTACTATATCCTGTATTCCCTTTTGCTCCATATGCTGTATCAATAAAGCAGCAGGATGTCCCAAATAGGCAAAGTAACTTTGTCTTATATTATCACTTTTGATTCCATCTTTCAATATGTCCCAAAATAATGGCAGTCCCAATTAACCAGAATATAATGTATTTACTGAAAAAGAAATTCTTATTAAAACATTAAATTGATCAGTAATTTTGTTTAAATTGTAGCTCTTTCTGCAGTCTGTTTTTTATATGTATTTCTAAAATCTACCAATCTTTCTAATAACACAACAAAATCATACAAATATAAATAATAATAAGTCTTAGGTTTTGGATAGTATGGATAAAATAAAATTTTTAAACGTTACTACTCATTTGACATTGTCTTCATTTGATTCTTGAATTCAAACCATTCAGTACAAACAGGCAAAACAATATATTATAAACTTTTGATGATATGAAACCGTGCTTAACAATTTGTTTATGCTTCTAACACAATAAAGTGGTATAAATTAAGAGGTGGTATAAACCCGCCAAGTGTCTTAATTTATACCACTTTATTGTGTTAGAAGCATAAATATTATAAACTTCTATTGTTTTTCTAATAATTTAAAAACTAATAATCTTATAATAATTTATTGTAAATCTTATCCTTCCTTTAAATCATTGTAGTCTCTCTCTATTCATTATACTGTGTGATTGTAATTAAAGCAACCTCCATTCTATGCAGTCTAGGAGATATTTAGCAGTCAAAATACAACCAAATATTAATATATAAATTGTGTGGATATGAGAATAGAAATACTATTCTTAAAATAAATTATACTTTCTTTTATAGAAAGCATTTTAAATTTAGGATTTTACTATTAAAGTTCTTATTTTAGCATTTCAGTGTTGTTACTGTTTACATCAAAATTATCCTGGAAAACAAGTCCTACCAAATAAGAAAGCAGCTCCAACATGGTAAGTTTAAATAAAATGTACATTACAAAGTTACCTGTATGTATATATAAAATGTAACTAGATAGTATAAAAAGCAGAGTACTGGTTCTTAGTGCAAAACTATGTTATATAAGACTAACTGATATGGTGTGTATCTGAGCTCTTCAATAATTTCAAAAATTTTTGAAATTATTGAAGAGCTCAAAAATTTCAAAATTTTTTCATTTTTGAAGATCTCAGATACATACATCAGTTAGTATTTTTCTTGAATTCTTATGTAATGTAATGTAAATGAGATTTTTTTTAAGTCATTCGAAACAACCTTAGGCAACAAACTGGATAGAAAGATGATTCTCTATTTTCTTTCAAGAAGTTAATAATAAATAATACATTAAAATTTTATACATTGCTGTTCATGAGATCCATTTTTTATTACTATGTTCAATTAAAATACAGAGTTATTTTTCCATTTTCTTAATTATATGCACTCAAGAACAAATGTCATATTTGTGGAAATGGAATATCATTTTTTATTAATTTTTCTGTGATCGAAAATTTGTATCTTTGATTCTACAGAAATGAAGCTATTTTTGAGTAGTACTTTAACTTTTTAAAGCATAATTTAGAGGTTTAATTTGGGCGTTTTTTTATGCAGTGCTCGAGAAGCGCTTTACAGCAAACACTCTGAAACCCGTTTCTAAATGGCCAACACTGCTCGTTACATCATTTCGCTACACTCTTGCTGCATAAACAAACACGGCCTTTAATTCACAACAAAGAAATTATTCCAATATGCTTTAATCCTTTAGTATTACATACTTGAAAAAATTTGTAAGCAGATCAAATGAAAACTAAATTACACATATAAAAAGTCATGAACTATATGATTTGAATTTTTATGGTCTCAAACACAAGTTCAATAGTTCAATATCTAATTAGGGAATTTCTCAATAAAATAAAATATGAAGATCTCCCAATAATTTTTCTTTTGCATAAAGACAAGTGAATCAACAGTGAAAATTAAAAAAAAAAACACTGAAAAATTACATACAACTTTCAAATAGTAGGATTTTCCCTGCACAAAAGCTCAAAAATATCATGTTTCTATCACAGTTCTTTAACTGGTGTTTCAACAACATAGTTTTGCTCTACATTATATGAAGGTTGTCTGTGTGCATATGCATAAAATATAAATAATCTATAAAAGATCATAGGTGTGATAAAGACTTAGTATACGTGGGATCCAGAAAAAAGATCGTTGGAGGTGAGGATCAAAGAACACAAAGCAGACATCCTACATAAAAGATATACTACAGCATTAGCACAATATGCCACGGACCCTGACATACAAGCTGTATTTGACGAGGCAAAGATAATTTACACCACACAGCTAATACACCATTTGCGGTGGATGGAAGCGATATATATCTATAAAACAGCAAGAGAAGATAAGTGTATAAACAATAAGGATGAACTATCCTTATCGATAGCATGGCAAACTCTTATTTACGACACTTGAGAAGCCAAAAGCGATCCTTCTATCTATAGAGCATGTGCAAGTTTAACATGATGATTGCATGAGTTTCCTTAGAACATTGCGTTCAGATTTTGAATAACATCGATTCTACCCATTTTATTCACCTGAAGAAGAACTAAGTTCGAAAACGTTTGTGAAAATATTTGGAAAAAATTTTGGAAATAAAACAACACACTGTTTTGGTTTACAGCAGAAGTAAGTCGTTTGCATAAAATATACTTTATTGATGTTAACTTGTTGTTTTATCATTCAATGTAATTAGTGGGCTTTTTGTGATGAATTGCTCTACTTTTAAAAAATATTATTTAATAGTACAGCTTTTATATTTTTTTTCTCTGAAATTTTTTCAGATAGTCAAATTTTACTATTACTCTATAAGTTTTTGAAATGATGATACAATCAATCATCAGTGTTTGTATTCTATGTTATCATATCAAGCTATAGAACCTTTTACAAGTTATATTTATGCCATTAGTTTGTCACTATAAAGTTAATTTTCTATTTCTGCTATTTAACAAATAAATTTTTATTTCTTATTCGAAATTTGTTTTAAATAGTTTAATATTTTGTAAATGAATAGAAAATCTGTTCAATTACAGGTTAAACAACAATTATAAACAATGTGAAACATAATGAAAGATGACTGTTTTATTATAATCTTTTAATCAACAATTTAAAAAACCCCATCAGATTCTTACAATTTTGTGAAGATTTAGAGGGATTAGACACAAACAATGGTTATTTCAACTGTTAGGACTTAACATTAGTTTATTATTTATATTAATGTTATATTAATATTATTAGTTTATATTAATGATTGTAGAATAATCATCTACAATCATTCTTGTAGATGATTTGTAATTTCATAAGAAATGTGTTCTAAGGTCAGTTGCAAAATGACACAACTACTATGTCTTTTGAACATAATTTTAGTTGGACAACATAACTGCAAATGTAATTTTTATAAAAACATTAAAAATAGTTTAGTTTATAGGAAAAAAACTACCACCTAGTACATGTAACATATAAAACAAAGAAAAACAATAACTATTTCATTGAAAAATTACATTAAAAGGGATGGCCATATCCAGTAAATAAACCATTTTTCAAAATACATAATTACACATGCTTTCTACAAATTTCTGCAATATAGATATATCAATTTCATCCATGCAGCAACAATTGTCTTCTACAGTTCTTCAACGTTATACGGTTTGCAGGACTGTATATACCAGTGGTAAAGTTCTAGATATTCTCCATAGTGTTTAAATCTGGTGAATTGACCATTCCACAACATAATTTCATTTTCCAAGAACCACTCCCATACAAGCTTTGCACCATGTATAGTTGAAATCAGAGCCGTAACTAGGGTATGGCCAATGTGGCCCCCGCCACAGGCGCCAATTTAATAAAGGTGCCAATGAGAAGGTTTTGGAATAATATGTATTCGAAATTAATAACACAAAAAAAATTTTTATACTTATATTTATATAGTATTTAAATGTCATTAGATAATTTTTTATAATAGCATTTTTTAGAATAAAATTATTATTTTTTTAATAATAAAAATTAAAAAGGCAAATTTTTATTCTTGGCCATAGGCATCCAAAATCCTAGTTACGGCTCTGGTTGAAATATCCAAAATAGTCCACCAATCACCTTCCCAAATGGTAAAAGGTTCTTTCTAACAGATGTTGATAGTAACTTCCATCTGACCTGTATGAAAAGCAAAATTTGTTTTATTACTATAACCAAAGTCCCACCTCTGACTATCACTGATCTTCTTCCCTGCTGTTACTTGGAAAAGATCTGTTCTTTTCTTAAGATCATGCCAGTAAAATGCCAAGTCATGGGATCATCTAGGTTGAATTCTCATCACTAAAGATGATTCTCTCCCACTCATTCTTCCAAGTTATGTATTCTTTTGCCCAGGGCACACTGCTATTCTTATGTTGTTCTGTAAGTCAAGATTGTTGTTTTTTTTGCTGTAAAAGTATTTGTTTTCAGTAAAGTTTTTTTTCTTTTATTGGATGTTAACGTTGTTATTTTACTTAAGTATTATCAAGTTCTCATTGATTGACTTTGGACCTTATATATTTTCAAAACAGAAAAAGAAGTTAAATCAGAATTTATAGCAAAATATCTCAGTTCATTGATCTCTTATGATGACTATTCTTTTTTTATATTTACTATTTCACTTGGCATTTAAGTAATTAGCTTCTAAAAACAGCACAGTTATAAGAACAAGAAAAGAATGAACTAATACTATGCTTCATCCTGTTATTGGTTTTTTTAATATTTTTCAATCTCCATAAAGAAACTAAAAATGTGATATTTTCCGTAACAAGGAACTATCATATCAGGACTTAACAAATCAGTGATTTGTTAACTAATGGTAACTTTAAATTTGTCATTATAATATTAAGAAAATGCAATAACAGGATGAAGCACGGTATTTGTTCAATCTTTTCTTGTTCTTTTAACTGTGCTGTTTTAGTTAACAAATCACTGATTTGTTAAATAAAACAGCACAGTTATTAAAATTTTAACAAATTACTGATTTGTTAACTAATGACAAATTTTAGCAATTCACTTGTTATGAAAGTTGTCTAGTAATTAATATAAAACAAAGTAGAATATATTTGTAATCTGAAAAAACATTTGATTTGCATAATTATGAGTATTATAGTTTAGCAAAAGAAAGAAAAAAAAATTATTATTATTATTATTATTATTATTCTTTTAGCATATTTAATTAGCATTATACAGTAGCAGCCATAAAAATTGCATCATCTATTATGTGTACCAAAAGCATTCAACAGATGTGCAAAGTAGCATATTTAAAACTAAGGTTGCAATTTAAAATGATAAAATATATAATACAGAGGAAAAAAACCAAGAAGATTAAATCAAATAAATACAATTTATTACATATAACATATAGCATATAGTACAACATTAGCATATAGCATATAGCAACTTAGCATATAGTACAATATTAAACTTATTTCACACTACAATTTTACCAATACTATAATTGAGCACTGTCTCAAAAACTTGCTATTCAGTTATGGAAGCAAAGAAAGGGTTCACCACATAAGTAAGTTTGAAAAATATAACTAGAACAGTTATTTCTCATTGAATTTGATCCCAAAACTTTGCAGGTTGCCTTAAAATCTTTGCCACACTCCAGCGTAGATTAGTTTCTTCAAGTATTCTATACCAAACTCTTCTAATACACTAATGCAGTTAATGTTTGTTTCCAGGTTGCCTCTCTCCAATTTTAATTCCCTTAATATGCCAACAATTCTCTTCATTATTGATGTTACATGGGTGACTCTGGCATCTGAATTGAGTCTTTTGTAGGATCTTTTTTACCTAAACAATGATTTCTGTTTCAGTTCAAGTGACAATAAACTAATGAACTGTAGAGAAAGGACAACTATACTTCACTCACCATCTTGATGCAGTGACATGATACAGAGTCATCCTGGCTGCAAGATTTTGTGTCACAAAATTGTTCTAAAATAGCTGGAATTAGCTTGGCAGATGAGGTGTTTATGTAGCACTCTATACAGAACTATTTATAAAGTGTAGTCTACTGACACCTTTACTGAATATGCCACAACATTTCACTTATCAAAATCTTTACTGTCTGTATCAGTCACTCTGTGTTATATGCCTCACCTAACACAGGGTTTGTCGTCGGATCCATGCAGGTTAAATTTGAATTCATCCAAAAACATAACAGAATCCCACATCAAGGCTGTTTAGCCCATGTAAGCAACCGTCTGCATTTCACGTGTCAACAGCAACTTCTTATGTGGACAATATGCTTTTAAATCCTACTGTCCACATAATGCATTCATTATCTGTGCAATGTTACCTATGTGACATTACACAGTTCATGCACTCATTTTTAAGCCTGTCTGCAGTTCTTTCCATTTTACTTTCAGTTCAAAAGGACTAATGTACAGTACATTTTCATAGGCTGTGAGATGCTCATCATCCTATCCTGGCACAACATACACACACATTCTCTTGATCCAGCTTTTCTTGTAATGTTGCATACTCATATTTCTTTTATAACAAATATATAACTGTTTATTGATAAAAATGCACTCTTTTATGAGGATAAATCTTCATCATTTAAAGCAACACTTATTGACTTTCTATAGTGTTAACTATCAAAAACTTTCTATTTTGCTTATAAAAAGTTCATACAAGTTTTTACACCAATGGGAGATACAATCACCAGACACATTGCTGCAATAGACTATCACCAATAGAAAGCATACTCATGTTTATGATGCTATGGATGATACCATCTTTATGATTTCTTGAAGGTCTATAAAAAACCATTTTTTCAGATTTTATGGGTAATGTGATCAGATACTAGAATATAAAAAGTGAGATGTTAGGTGGGCACTTTTTTTTTCATGGCCACCTAACTTCCCGATACCCATAATCATAGTAATCTGGCCACAATACCCATTACCCACATTCATGACGCAGATAAGTCACGCAATTAATTTTGGTTGATAATCACCCATTTTCAGCTTTCTGATGATATCAATGACAGATGATACAAATTACTAATGAACATTTTAATTATCCATATCAGTTTACTTGAGTAAGTTTATAAAATAATCACCTATAGCAACAATGAACAGTTAACTGTAGCTCTTAATGTAGCATTGTTGCTTTATTCACCAGTTACTGAGATAATTAGCAAAAACCATCAACTCTCTTTTATAATTGATTCACATGATCATGATACTTGCACATGATATAAATTTATTGTTCTCTAACAGATAGTTTATCAGACTGGGCAATAAATTCTAATTGGAATACTATTTCTATAAATAGGATATTAAAATTTTTTACAATACAATAATGTACAGTTTATCTTTGACTTACAATTCATGCAGTTTTTGAAAATAATTATGAAACAGTCTAAAAGTGGCACTGCCCTGCCTAATTTGGGATGTCTGGTCACTTTAGTAATGTAGTTTCAATGGCTGCTACTACATATAATAGTTAAGCTTCTAAATTAAATTATGAATTTTTATTATTAATTTCAGAACCATGATTCATAATACACTGTGATAAAAATCAAGATCTGCTTTGATAATGGACTTCGTCAAAGCATCGTACTGAAGTCTTTTTATGGTATTTTAATTTAATGAAAGTACTAATGATAAAGTGAATTACTTAATTCATTTTGCTGTATTATATGTAACATATTACTGGTAATAAAATAATAAAATTGCTAAAGATAAAATGAATATATTTTCTTAATGATTTAAAATTCTAAGAATGAATAAATCTTTAGAGAAGCCAAACAACTATTGGATTACATAGTGCTACTTTTCCGCAATTATATTTAATTAATTACTAAATAATTTGTTACTAGTGGAGGTGTAAGGTGCCATCTCTTATTAAATTTAATATTTATAATTAAATTAAATAATTTGGAATATTCTGGAAGAAAAGAATTGGCTGGAGTGAGACTCAAATCCACAACTCCCACTTACTGTGCAGATGTGTTGCCAAGTTAAGCTACCCAAGCCTCCAGTCTGATCTCTTCCAGACATTTTAAAATATGATATAACTATCCTCAGTTACTTAGTGTCTAATGGGACACCTTCTGCACCCTTGTCCTATAAACTGCTACTCATGGCACTCACTAGCCATCGCTCAACTCTGGCATGGTATATACCTAAAGAGTTGGATATTTACTATACAGGTATACCTTGAGTTACATCGTTTGTCAAAAAATATACAGAAAAATAAAAATCAAGTTTAAGTCATTTTATTCGATTTTACGTCCATCCGCCACAAATATTGAAGTCGTAATATCACTAGAAAAGCGTTAAAGCACATAAAATCATATTAAAATATGTTAATATAATCATCATAAATCCTAGGGAACGAAACATGAAAACATCTGTGTTTGTGTTGTTGTCTTATTTAGCGGTCTTTAAGTGCTCAATATTGGGGTTTTCCACGGTAGCTCCAATATCTACCGTTTGGCACCGTTGTCAGCACCACTCGATATTGGTAAATTTAATACAAATTAGTTTATTTTCTACTGTCCTATGATAATTTTAATAACTGTATTCGTTATTTAACCTTACAAAATCATCTTATTTTATAATGTCTTAGAGCAAACCACATTCACAAATAAAGAGTCTGCGATGTACTGTAAACATCGCCAAATTGTAAACATGTACATTTACAAGTATGTACTGTACGTACTACATGAATTCGTAAATTTAATTATTTTTTTCTATACTACATTAAAAACTAAAATTTATTTGTTTGTAAGCTTCAATTGATTCTTATTAACCATATATTATTAAAAATGCATTTATAAATAAAATACAGAACTGGGAATGGTTATTTGTGGTTTAGCCTAGTGACAAGTAAATTCGATTTACATCGTTTTTTGACTTAAGTCGCCTCTCCTGGAACCAATTACTGACGTAAGGTGAGGTACACCTGTACTATGTATTTTCTCTAAAGACTTTAATTATATATATATAATTAGTTTCTTAAGGGTTTTTTCTCAAAAAACTAAAAAATATACTTTCAGTTTTTTCATTAACAGAATGATATATAATGTCCTATATTTACTATTTTATTGTGATGAACTTATGTATATTATAATACTAATTATAAATTACAGTCTGTTTAAAGTAGTTATTTAGAGAGAATTTTTCTTTAAAGATAAAATATTTGATGATATTATGATTTTAGTCCAGTAAAATTAATGAAACAAAATACAGTGGGTGATCGGTTAACGAACAATTCAGATAATGAACAAAATCTTGGAACAGATTATGTTCGTTAACTGATCACCCACTGTATTAAAAATGACTCAAATATTGCTTTTAGAAAGATTCATATTTTGTAACTTAAGATGGATCATTATTAAAATATTTTCAGGTATAATATTTGCTTTATCAAAGAAAAAATTATGATTAGCATAATCTGCTAATTGTGAATTTTTCTTATACAGTCTACCCCTCTATAACACGGGTTCCTATAGTTCGGATTCCTATATGACGGCGAAAAAATTGCGACGGTATCCGTACAAACATGGTAAAAAAAACTCCTACTATTCGGTAAAACGTCATCGGGCAGCCGAACTACTTTCAGCCATCCAGCGCCACGCTACGGAGAGTTTAGGTGGATAAGTTGAGTTTACTATCGTCTGTACAGTATGTAAATTAGGTACCGTAAGTCTAATACAGTATTGTATTTTATACATTTCTTGTGAAAGAAACATTTCTTATTCAACGGCCATAAAAATTATTTATATTAATGATGCCTCCAAAGTTCAACAAATTTTTTGCAGAAAAATAACTTATCAGAAATTGCACCCGCCGTTTGGTGTGCTGCTCCGCGATGAAAACAAGCTGAAGCAATGGTGATGTCAAACGGTGCACACTCGGTAAGTAATCCTAAATTTTTTGTTTATAGCATAGTTTATACGGATTATTCCCAAAAAAATATACATGTTTTGGAAATGTTGAGTCAAATTAGTCTAGGAATTGATTAATTTTATGGAAGAAAACCTTTCAAACAACCATAGTCCGTAAAGTGCATACGTGCCGGGCTGTGATTGGCAAGGACTCGTACAAAATGGATTCATAAAGAATGGAACATATCTACCGTGTTATAGGGGGGTTGACTGTATTGAGAAAAATCCAATTTAGTAAATAACTTAAGCTTTCTATTTTAAGGTTAAATAAATGACAGACAACTTGTTTTCTAATTTTAAATCTTTATTGAAAACTATTTTTGAAAATTCATATCATTTATTAGTATAACAATTTTAATTGTTTCATTAAAACATTTCCCATAAAAATGCTTTTTTGTTTATTTAATAAAGTTTACAATCTTAGATTATATCTTGAAATGTAAATAATAGTAAAATTAGATTTTATATAGTTATTAATATGTTATTTCTGTTATAAATAACATAATGGGGAATGTCCATTAAATATCAGTTATATATTTGTTGTTTAATTTTTTATTATAGAAAATGCTAATTTATAAATTCAGGCATTTCCTAACAATGTGATTGCTGCAAATATGTCAAATTGTGGTATCTTCATTTATCTACTAACAACAAATTGAACTAAAAGTTCATATATATGAATCATAAAATGTTTAACAAAACATTTATCTTAAAAATCAAACATGGTAACAATAATAATCATGAGGCATGCATTTCAAATTATAACTTTTTACTTACACATATTAGGATTGGAAAATATTACAAATTTTTTATCAAATATCTTGAAATAAAAATTATAGACAATATAAAAGTTTAAATAAATTGAGAAATGAATAATGGTATGTTATAATTAAATATAGTAATTCATATAAAGTTTTGTATTCATAATTATAAAATCAAAATGAAATATATCAAATCACAAATTATAAATAAAATAATGATTGGTCATTAAACAATCAGAAATTATTACTTGTGGAAGACTTATCTCAGTGAATAACTACATATTAGGTATTAATATAAATCATTGTTTTTACAAATCTGTGTTAATATAACCATATTTAATTCACAAATCTAATATAATGCTATATAAAAATATTTTCTTGTACCAATTATTCTGTGCAAAACATTTATTTATATCAATTAAGTAAAAATCAAAAAGTTTATCATCGTCAGAATTCATTTATAGATCTACAAAGCATACTGTGAATGAGAATGTATTTAGATTTAGAAAATTTTTCCATATTAAAACAAATATTAAATAATTACTTCACATTTAGTTTCCTTCCTGCAAAAATTTAAATACTGAAGAAAAGTCTTTTGAACCATAGCCATTATTGATCATTAATCTAAATATCTGATGAGCCAGTGAACCCAATGGTGTTGGTGTTATAGTCCTAGTCGAAGCTGACTGTGCTAAGCCCAAATCCTATTAAAATTAATTAATGTAAATGTTACTTTACTCCTTTATACATAAAAGTATACTGTTTCTCTCTTGTTTCTCTTTTTTTTATCTTTATATTTTATCTCATAACAGTAANGCTACCCAAGCCTCCAGTCTGATCTCTTCCAGACATTTTAAAATATGATATAACTATCCTCAGTTACTTAGTGTCTAATGGGACACCTTCTGCACCCTTGTCCTATAAACTGCTACTCATGGCACTCACTAGCCATCGCTCAACTCTGGCATGGTATATACCTAAAGAGTTGGATATTTACTATACAGGTATACCTTGAGTTACATCGTTTGTCAAAAAATATACAGAAAAATAAAAATCAAGTTTAAGTCATTTTATTCGATTTTACGTCCATCCGCCACAAATATTGAAGTCGTAATATCACTAGAAAAGCGTTAAAGCACATAAAATCATATTAAAATATGTTAATATAATCATCATAAATCCTAGGGAACGAAACATGAAAACATCTGTGTTTGTGTTGTTGTCTTATTTAGCGGTCTTTAAGTGCTCAATATTGGGGTTTTCCACGGTAGCTCCAATATCTACCGTTTGGCACCGTTGTCAGCACCACTCGATATTGGTAAATTTAATACAAATTAGTTTATTTTCTACTGTCCTATGATAATTTTAATAACTGTATTCGTTATTTAACCTTACAAAATCATCTTATTTTATAATGTCTTAGAGCAAACCACATTCACAAATAAAGAGTCTGCGATGTACTGTAAACATCGCCAAATTGTAAACATGTACATTTACAAGTATGTACTGTACGTACTACATGAATTCGTAAATTTAATTATTTTTTTCTATACTACATTAAAAACTAAAATTTATTTGTTTGTAAGCTTCAATTGATTCTTATTAACCATATATTATTAAAAATGCATTTATAAATAAAATACAGAACTGGGGATGGTTATTTGTGGTTTAGCCTAGTGACAAGTAAATTCGATTTACATCGTTTTTTGACTTAAGTCGCCTCTCCTGGAACCAATTACTGACGTAAGGTGAGGTACACCTGTACTATGTATTTTCTCTAAAGACTTTAATTATATATATATAATTAGTTTCTTAAGGGTTTTTTCTCAAAAAACTAAAAAATATACTTTCAGTTTTTTCATTAACAGAATGATATATAATGTCCTATATTTACTATTTTATTGTGATGAACTTATGTATATTATAATACTAATTATAAATTACAGTCTGTTTAAAGTAGTTATTTAGAGAGAATTTTTCTTTAAAGATAAAATATTTGATGATATTATGATTTTAGTCTAGTAAAATTAATGAAACAAAATACAGTGGGTGATCGGTTAACGAACAATTCAGATAATGAACAAAATCTTGGAACAGATTATGTTCGTTAACTGATCACCCACTGTATTAAAAATGACTCAAATATTGCTTTTAGAAAGATTCATATTTTGTAACTTAAGATGGATCATTATTAAAATATTTTCAGGTATAATATTTGCTTTATCAAAGAAAAAATTATGATTAGCATAATCTGCTAATTGTGAATTTTTCTTATACAGTCGACCCCTCTATAACACGGGTTCCTATAGTTCGGATTCCTATATGACGGCGAAAAAATTGCGACGGTATCCGTACAAACATGGTAAAAAAAACTCCTACTATTCGGTAAAACGTCATCGGGCAGCCGAACTACTTTCAGCCATCCAGCGCCACGCTACGGAGAGTTTAGGTGGATAAGTTGAGTTTACTATCGTCTGTACAGTATGTAAATTAGGTACCGTAAGTCTAATACAGTATTGTATTTTATACATTTCTTGTGAAAGAAACATTTCTTATTCAACGGCCATAAAAATTATTTATATTAATGATGTCTCCAAAGGNATCTACTCCATAGATCATCTTCAGGTTGAAACCAACAAATATGGAATAACCACAAAGAATAGAACACAAAAATCAAATTCAAAAATTATCAACAACTGAGCAACTAAGTAAAATAATTAAAGCATAAAAAATACAAAGTGTAAAAATAAATAACATACAACAATAATTAAATAATAGTACAAGCCGCTAACAGCTAACAAAAACTATAAAGGTTCTCATAATGTAAACAAGGTGCAATTCATAAGCTACTTGTAAGTCTTTTAATAGCAAACTTCCATGTTGAGGGTAGGCCCTCTGCACCCCTAGCATTTATACATCTATCATCAAGTTTGCTTCTGTATATTTCCATCTTTTCGACAGTCTTTGCTAAAGTTGAAGAGAGTATTTGTCTGACGATTTCCACCTCTTTCCATCCAACTACGGTACCTTGGGCTTAGTTGTCAATATTTTTTAAATTTGAATTTCGTGTTCTATTCTTTATGGTTATTCCATATTTGTTGGTTTCAACCTGAAGATGATCTATGGAGTAGATCGAAAATGTTCGTTTTTTAATAAACTCCCTCGGCAACAAATAAGGTGTTGGTTATTCTGATTGTAGAGTAGAAGCTGTAATTACAGACAGATAATTAAATTAATAATAATCTGAATCCATAGATTATTAATTTAATTTTAAAAATCTGAACTGGATTACAATAATGGATGATCAGTTATGTATTTTCATAAAAGAAAAAGTTTTAGATCTCAAATTTAAAAATTGAGATTTTTTTTATATATGACAAAGATTTTTTAATTAAATACATTCCATATTACATTCATAAATAAAAATAATTTATTTATTATTATTATTTCAGTCATGCATCGGTTTGCTTAAAGAAAAAAATCAGTCATATATTAAAGATTACTGGAGAGAGAGAGAGAGAGAGAGAGAGAGAGAGAGATACATAGATTTGTATTAACTTATACTAGAAGAATTTCATCAAACCTTTAATTCTAGATAGGTAGGGGAAAAATACTATTGAAAGAAACATACAAAAATAGACATTGTTATTAAAGTAAATTCTTAACTTATATCAAATTGAATTTTCAATAATTTTTGTTTAAGGAAAAAAAATATCAAAAAGAATGCTATCATATTTATAAGACAGTATGTTTTAACAAGCAAAAAATTTTGGTTGTTTTCCCCAATTAAACAGAAACAGTAATTAATATTTGTTTTCTATGATAAAACAGAAGACTAACTATAGCAACAAACAGATAGAAGTGATGTTTGAATCAGAAAGAAAAAGTTTTAATTGATGATGGTGACAGTTTCTAAAACATTATTGTTTAATAATATTGTTAACTTGAAAAACAAACATTCACCACATTTAATTAACTGACACTAATCAATTTTGGAGTATCTGCCAATTTCTTAACAATACATTGATAGACTCAATTCAAATTCACTAAAACTTGTGAAAAATTAAAAACAAAAATTTCCAATATAAATGAAATTTATAATTTCTCATCATATCAAATAAAAAAATTTGAAATATAAACTGGTTTGTTAATTAATCTATTTTATATTTCTAGTAAAAAAGAAAAATTCTAACATATAGTCATCATGCAAATTCAATATAATATCCTTGAAAAAGTGTAAATTCCTAGGTGGTGAAAAGTAATAAATTACATATTTTTGTATTCAAATTAATGTTAAATAAAATTGTATAATAATATAATGTTAATAAAAGAAAGTATAATTTCAGTTTCAAAAATTTTTGAATACAAACTTTTAATATTGTTTTTATCAGTCTCTAAGAGTTATTATATAAATATGGAATTTCATAATTTCTTGTTTGTGTAAAATACTAATGTAGTCTTATGTAATGAAGTAAAGGCTTTGGCATGAAATAAATAAATTAAAATAAAAAGTCAAAAGAATTTGCCTAGCATGCATATCCTTCTTGTGTTCTACCTGTATGCATGTATGTGTGCATACATTTGTTGATTTAAGCAATGTACAGTATTTTGAAATGCATATACAAAACTGTAATTCCTGCATTAAAAGTCAATATTACATAGTATATAGTAAATAGTATATGTAAATAGTTAGCAATTATTATTCAAACGTTCATTATTGATCTTTTATCAATTTAAATTGCAGCTTTATAATTAATATTTCTGTGAATAGAGAATGATATCAATAGATATACTGAATTGACATCAAATCTTGCAAATACAGTATATATGTAAATGAGAAAATAATGGCTTTGATGGACAGCTTTGGTTTATAAGGCCTAAAACAATTGAAGGTAGCAAAACAAAAGTATCATTTCATAAATTATATGACCACATAAGTGACAAAAACAAATTTAATTTAATTTCCTTTATTTTGCAGCAGTTATAAATTTAATCTTTTCTTTCTAGTTAAAATCCAACATGCTACTTTTTTAATATTTTGTTTTCTTCCTATATTTCTAGGTTCAAAAGACTTATTGACCAGAATCTAACTCAAAAATTATCAAAAGTACATGTGAAAGTACAATTATAGTTTAACAATCCTAATTGTATTTTCACATGTACAGGATGGTCACAGATTGCTGCTAGTTGGTCAAGTGACCAACTAGCAGCGATCTCTGGAGTGAGTAAAGTAAGGAATCCATTATAACTTTTGCAGGATAAGTATAAGATGACGTGCTCATAATATACAAAATTAGGATAGAATAGGTATCACAATTATAGTTAATGCAGTGTTTCTCAATGTGGGGCGCATGCTCTACTAGGGAGCAATTTGAAAATTTTGGAGGGCAATGCCAAAAACTGGCATGGCCAAAAAAGGTTGAGAAACACTGAGTTAATGTAACCATTATTGAAAATTTCCAATAAACACCACCAATTTCCAATACAAACAGCAAGAATTCATGATGTCATGAGATTTTGCCTGATGGAAAACAGCAGAAGATATGTGTGTGTAGAATGAAAAATATCAGCAAGCAAGCCAATATCCATGACAGAAGACTTATACAGGTTCACAGATTGTGCAGCAAACCCATAGCTGAAACTTACCGCATGTCAGCTGCAGAATATAAAAGCATCTGTTGAACAGAATTCAGATAAAGTGTTCATTCTCCCTTTTCTGTTTTGGTTATGCATTTACAGTCTTCTGTTGCAGGTATTGGCTTGTTTATTTCCATTGTTCAAATGCTGATATCTCTGTTGTTATTCATTCTACACACACAATGTTCCAATGTATTATGCTGTTTTTTTATCATACAGAATCTCATGACATTGTGAATTCCCAGTGTTTGTATTGGAAATTTTTGATATACAGTTGTGTTAACTATAACAGTGATATGTGTTCTACCCCAATTTTTGTGTATCTTGAATGCATGGCATTCTGTACTTATCCTGCAAAAGATTCAACAGATGCCTTGCTTTCCATGCTCCTGAGATCACTATTAGTTGGTCAAGTTACTTTATAACCACCCTGTATTTCATACCTAACAAGATAAAATAACAAAGAACAAAATATAAAATCCAATCAGCTATTTTTTTTTATTTTAACTATAGAAACAATGTTAAATTTATAAGTGATTCCTTCTTTTTGTGCATTTGAGACATTTTAAAATAAATAAAATTTTGTATTAAGTACTCATAGTTAAATAGTTAATAGCTCATAGCCTTGACTCAATATGTAATATTGTCAGATTTGTGAGTACGAACATGCGCATTAGCATTAAGTTGTAAATAAGAAACCGCATAAGCGGCGATAGTACTTGTTATATAATTTTTTGGTTTATTTTTAATTAGTTTGGTTTAATCTTTACGATTTATGAGTACGGGCATGCGCTTTAGCATTAAGTTGTAAATAAGCGCTTTGAATTTTTGTATTTTTTCAAATACTTTGTTTGTTTTATGGTTCAAATTTTTAACTGAAGAAGATCGCTTAAAACGGTCAAAAACGTTTTTTAAAGCATTAAACGTTATGCTGGAATAGAAAAAAAGGTGTTTGTTTATTGTATTTAAGAGGTGGATGGAAAGTAAATGGACTAAGTTCTGCATCTCCTACTTTAATGCTTTTGTAACAGAACAATTCTTACAGCTGTTCTTCATCTAATAACTATTGCGAAGTAGTAGTAATAGTTATTTGCTGACACTGATGCCATGATATGCAATTGAACAAATATTTTTGTAAGCATGGTCCAAGAGAGATTTTCCAGAGGTGGACACAACTTTTCAGCTGATAAATCCTCAAATCTGGAGGAAGGACCAGAAATTTTTGTCAGGAACTTTTTGTTTGCAATACTCCTTTTTGCATTTCACCGAAAAGTGTTCAATGCCCAAGCTTCTTGGACATGTATTCAATGCCTTTCTGTATAAGCAGTTACAATTTTGTGTAATGCAACACAGCTAAATCTGGCAGAAAATGTCATCATTCCAGGAATAGTGCTTATCAAAGAAGGAAAGTAGTAATTTTTTCAGACATTCCTCTAGGTAAACCTGAGCAGTGATGATATCTTCACAAAAAAAACTGTCTGAAATGTTCTGAGAGGCCTCCATAGCCTGCCAAATAAGGTATTTCTTATAGAATTTTTCGTCATTGGCAATATCCTAAGGATTCATAGCATAGTAATATTGCTTTCCTTGGATATTTCCAGGGTCAAATGGGCAATAAGTCTTATCAATAATAAGATGCTTCCTCAGACTCTTTTCATAAACTTATCTGCAACCTCTTTTTTGCTTTTTCCACATGGTCCTTTATATACTTCAGTGCAATTTGCTTCTTATATCTCTTGATCCCCAATTTTTTGACTATGATATGTAAAATTTGTCTTTGAGAACAACAATTTCTGATGAAAGTTGTTGAAGTCTGTTCATAGAAATTCTGACTTGATTCACAAATTTCAGAGTGGATTGAGAAATGAGACAACAAGGAAGTGAATTGTAATTGTCTTGTCTCTGCATTTTGCAAAGGTATGAAGAAAAAAGTTCATTTTCTCATACCTTAAAATAAAATGGACATCAGTTTTCTTCTTACTGCATTCTGATGTATTTTTATAGTACTGAATGATACTATATGATGGTTAGGAGTTCATTCTCATGTCTTTTTCCCATGTTGTTTCATTGGCAGCACAGAACTTTTATTCCTTATGTGACAAAACATGTCACAACATTAGTCAACAATCTTCATTTGCATGTGCATTTGCAAATTATGCAATAGGCCTGGAATTACTTTTGTCTATCTACTTTCCATCTACCTCTTGTAAGTACCATTTGTAATTACCTCTTCTTTTTTTTTAGTGTGGGTAATTGTAAATGCCAAATTTTGCAGTTTTTATGGTACACAGCCAAAATATAGCAAGATAAAAAGTTCTACCTTAGTGTATGCCTTTACTAATTAATAGAAAAATGAGGAACAAAATCTCACTAATGATGATAGCACTTGCATTTGTAGATGTAGACACCTAATCCTGAAACCAATAAAATGGACATCTTGTTTTTAATAAACAAACTAAAGTCTTAAATATAAGCATAGAACTATAAAGACAACCTTCATAAATAAACCTCCTGTACTTTTAAAGAGTCTGCACCAGATTTTCAAATTGTGCTAAACAATGTTAGAGAGAATTTACAATTACCACAGGCAACCCTGTTAGACATCTTGTTGTGCATTCTATCTACAGTTTTTTTTACAATGTTCCATAATAATTTTTCCCTAACATTTTTTAACACATCAGATATTATGTGTAAATCAAGTATTTATATATATGCTGTACAATATCTCATTAACAAAAGATGTCACATTTTATATGCAAAAATAATCAGGATAACTTGACATTTTAATTAAATTATATCTTATGAAAAAAATATTTATCACAACATGCTATTTGTGATGAATATTCTTTTCATATATAGTCCATATCAAATACAACAAGCTATGTCATTGACTTGCTTATCTAGCTGTATTAAAGCCACTTTACCAGGCAATGTGCCCAATAATAATTTTAAAAATTATCAATTACAGTACAGTCCCAGAAATTTGACTCAACAATGAAACATTCCATAAAACTCATTATGTCTTCACAACAAAAAAAAAAAAAAAAAAAAAACACACACACATAAGTTAGAGGTAAAAATTCGATTAACAGTAGGATCAAATAAGTTATCATTCTTCACTGGCAATACTCAACAATGGCATTGATTCCTGGTGTTAACAAAAAATATAACCCCTTTCCCAGAGTGCACTGCCACGATGCAAATGTCATTAACTCAAATATAGCCACTGAAGAGCCAATAGTTTTTTAATTAAAATTTAAGTACAAGTATTAATAGTCAATATTGGTATGTAGGTATATAAATTTGAACATATAATATCTTCATGAAAATTCAGCTATTTAGACTAACATCATCACTACCTATAAAACTTATCTTCTCAGTCAACATTAAGTGGAGTTTGTGGAACTCTACTGTACTACTATTTTATTTCATTTATTCTATAAATCTGCAAGGTTTGATATACCCTGATTTATGTTATCTATTTGACACATTCTCTGATACACAATATTATCAATATTTAACTATTTTGTTTATAAATTATTATTATTACTTGAAACATAAAACATTAAACAGCATTAAGTTTATTATGTACACAAATGAAAGTTGTATACATTATATAAATTTTGTTTTCTTTCTAAATTTTTAAAAAATTTGCTTACCTTTGTCATAAGTGATGTACTAAAGCCTCCTTCATAATTATTACTAGAAGGAACTGTTTCTATTACTCCAGGGACAGGGTTATATACTTCACTAGACCAACATCTACCAGAACTAGAATTAATTATTTGTGCTAAAAGCTTTGCTTCCAATCCAAGCCTAAAATATAATTATATATAAATTAAAATGGAATATTTTTATTTATTTAAAAAAATTTTTTTTTTAATTTTAAAATATTGATTAGATGAATTCAAAACGTTATATTTGAAAGAAGTTTAATATAATACACTTTGAAAAATGAAAGATGGTAATATATAAGAATCATAGATGAAAATTCTTTTGCTTGTTAAATTCTGATATCATTAACTGCTTAATTTTTATATAAAAGAAAATACAATCACTGATAGTGACATTAACACATTATATGTAAAGTAAATATACTAATTGTAGAAACAAAATATTGACTTTAAATTATGTATAAAACATTAACTTCTACAGAGCAAGAATCTTATTTCTCTATTCTGCATTAAAAATAAATTCATTTATAGTAAAGGGAGAAATACTTTTAATTATTTTCATTAAAAAGCAGCACATCTCTGAACCTTAAAAAATTCCAGGATATTTTAATGCAAACAAACATTTTTGATCTGCACAGGAGATCTTCAGGTTAAAATGTTTTCAAATGGAATGCGGAAATAGAACGTTCTTAAGATTATTTGAAAAACTACTAATAAGAATCTTTTAAATTTTTAAAATAAGTTTTAAATTGACTGTTCCTCTAGGTATAAAGATTTCCACGCATATGATAATTGCCTTTCTTCCTTGAAATTAATGCAATGGTTTCTCTTTTCTGATTTAAATATCTCGAGAGCTTCCAGTGTCTTGATTTGGTCATTATGCTTAGATCGTCATATAATTGAAGCTTTGTCTAGATAGGCTTGAAAGTCGTTGTCTGTGGCTACCTGGCTATGGCAGTGTTATTGATATCATATTTGTGTTCCACAAGCCTTACTTTGAATGATCACATGGTGGTGCTGATGTACTCAAGATTGCATTCCAATCTATTGTCTCTCAATGGAATCTTATAAACTCCTGGTACCCTAAGCATGTCAGTGTCGTCCTTTCTGTTTCTGAGGATGTTATAGATAGATTAACATATAGATGTGTTCCCACAATCTAAACCCTCTAAAATCTTAATCTGGACCCTGGTTTGCAACCCCTATTACAGAAGATAATCAGGATGGTGACTGCAAACAATTGGTTAATTAAACAGATAACTTCTTTTATTGAAGATAAAAATAATAGTACTAAATTCATCTATTCAAGAATGTGGTAAAAATGTCTGCAAGATACAGTCATGTAATCACTAAATGTGCCATGTCTGAAGATGAGCAACAGATGGAAGTGGAGTTATCAATTTTTAACTGCATTTGTTCAATAAAATCTTCTAAGAATAATTTCCTTTGTTATATTATTTTTATTTTCAAAATATATATTAAATATTGGAGGATATGAAATCATATTACACGTGCAGTGTAATAGCCATAACATGCCCTCTCATGAAACTCTAAAAGGCATGCCCACCAAAGGGTTAATTATTATATTACTTACAAATTTCTAATTCCTTCCTAATTTTAACAACAGTAAGAAAATTGATTATATGACTTAAAGCTGAAAGAAGCTTCAACTCATATAATAATAGTGATCTCAGGAGTCGAAGAAAATGTTATTGTCATACTCAATAAATATGGCAATATTGTGTTAACAAAGCTCTAGTAGTAGTAGAAACTTTTTTTGAAAAATTCAAAATATTTCTTATTTAACAATAACTTCATGAATTTCAGGCCCCATATTATTATCAATACTAACATGCTTATTTTATGAGATTAAAGTAAGTATTGATAGAAAAATTTTATTGTTAGATTTTAATGCTTCTTATAATCTTCAATCCATCAACATAGACACACATCAAAATAGCACTTAATCCAAAACCTGGATGTAAAAAGCTTTTTAAATACAGGGTGTTTTTTTAAAACTGACGGTACTCAGAGACATCTGTAGAGCAAGCTAACAGCCGGATTGTCACCAAATTTGAGATAGTGACTAAGGACGACATGGGAAAGAGATTCCGCGAAGAAAAAAAAATTTGCCGGTAGAAGTGGATTTGGCACTACTGTAGTGAAACAGCTAAGAATTTGCATAACATGCTGGTAACACTTCAAAATCCAAATTCACAATGACATGGTCAACAGCAGTGCCACCTAATTTGAACTTAAAAGACAAGGACAAAAGTCCGAAATGCATTCTGTTCGTCAGCAGAGTTCAACATGCATCTTTCATTATCTCAGCATGTGTTGCTTGTGAAACTTTATTATCTTAATCAATCGAGCGCTCTTTGTGAGTCTAGAACCTGTAACAACCTGTGCAGAGGTCCTCTATCAATTAATGCATTGAAAGACTTTGATAAAGAAATTTGAAGAGACAGGATCCTTAGCAGTTTGTCCTGGTAGAGGGCAGAAACCGGTGTCTGCACAGACAGTTAGTGATTTTGCGACTGACTCGTTGAAGGTTCTAACCCCCAGATCTAACCCCATGTGACTTTTTCCTGTGGGGTTACTTAAAGTCCAAGGTCTATCTTGGTGATGTCCCCAACTTGATGACCTTGAAGGACAACATTTCTCGAACTGTAATGAACATTCTTGAAGACATGTTATGTTCAGCCATAGAGAACAGTGTTCAGGATGCAATGTGTTGTCCAGCAGGACGGTGGTCACATTGAAGAAGGGAAAAGGTTATTTGCTGATTAATTAAACTTTCGTTATTGCACTGAAACCTCTGTCTGATTCATTTGTATGTTTGTTAATTGCAGCTGGGTTTTATGCAAATTCTTAGCTGTTTCGCTACAACAGCGAATTTAGGTGGTACTATTTTTTTCTTCACGGAATCTCTTTCCCATGTCGTCCTTAGTCACTATCCCAAATTTGGTGACAATCCGGCTGTTAGATTGCTCTACAGATGTCTCTAAGTACCATCAGTTTAAAAAAAAACACCCTGTATTTGTAATATGGTTTTAAACATTTATTATCACATTTGTAATACAGATGTAATAACATGATTTTGAAATATCTATAAATAATCATAACTTTTAGAAAAATCCAAAGTATTCTTAAAGATAAAGTTTTATTCTTATTAAATTATTATATATATATAAAAATACATAAATCAAAAAGTTTTACACATTAATTATCAATGAAATTATTTTCACGACCATATTAAATAAATTATTAATTAGGATATCTCACACAATAATCAAATTCTTAATAGATGATAGAAATTTTCTGCTTTGTGAATAAATTTATAATTAGCTGCAGGAATTTAGTTAATAGAGAGGTTGAGGCACAAGTTCAAACATTAAACATGTACGGGTAGCAGAAGTACACGTTACATGTTTCAAGTCCAAGTAAAAATCGTTGAGGAACCCGTTCATAACATCACATGACTCAGTGAACATCGCGCATTGACTCACGGGAAATAAGTTGAAAAAAATGGCGGAAGCATTTTGCACGGAGGGTTACCAGGAAAGGTAAATAAACAAATTAAACTATTTAAAAGTATTTATATGATGTTTAATAACACTAAATAATAATTTTTTTTTTACTATAATTAGTGTTGTGTTTCCTCCGAGAAACATTAGGAAAGTTCAAATGCGTTTTTCTTGTTATCACGACATACTTCTGTTGAGAGAAGTAGTGGCTGTAAATCCCTATGTGTATGAAAATCCAAAAGGTGCTAGGAAAAGTATATCTGAAAATTTACGGACGTATAACACCGTCGACGGTAGAAGATGCCGGGAAAGAACAACTTTACTTCTACAGTATTATGACAAGGTACGTGAATGCCATCTTGCCTCCCAGATATACAGTCTGTTACAAAAGTATACCACAAATTTTGTGATTTTTCAAAATTTATTTAATTTTTTTATTAGAAAACAGTTTGATATGTTTTGAGACAATTACAAAAATATAATTTTCAAGCTCTTTATCTTTTAATGATAATATATTAAAAGTTATCACTTTATACTTGTTAGCAAAGTATAGGTACACTTTTTAAAATTACATAAAAGTTTTAAATATATTTTAAACACTTAATATTTGGTTTCACCCCCTTTGGCTACAAACTTAAAGAACTTTTTTTAGGCATGGAGTTTATTACTTTTTTAATTGTTCATTCTTAATTTCATCTCATGTATCCATTATTGCAATTTTCAATTGATTTACAGTTTCATATTGTTTCCCATTTTGATAAACAATTCCTGCTAAAATCCCCCATAAATTTTCAATTGGATTTAAATCTGGACTACATGAAGGCCAGTTAATATTACATCAACATTTTCTTTTTTAAAGAAATTTTTTGTTGACATTAGGACATGAATGGGAGCATTATCTTGTTAAAACTACCATTTATGACCTCCAATTAAACCACCAAATGTGATCATATTTTTGTCAACAAATACTAAATTAGTTTTACCTTCCAATCCATCCTATTTACCTCCAAATCTATCCCAAATCATTATAGACCCATGGCTTATTTTAAATCTGCTTTCTCTTCTTAAATCGGCCAATAATATGAAAACCCATCAGGGCCATATAAATTAAACTTCTCATCATTAAACATTATTTCTTGCCATTCTTCAGTCCATCCTATCTTGTCTTTAGCCCAATTTAAATTCATTGATATGTGTTTAGCAGTTAAAGGTAGTTTCAACTTCATTTTTAAATATTTTACATTGTCATAGTTTTTTAAAGTTCTCCAAAGAGTTGCATGAGATACATCTATTGGTATTTCAGCAGCAGCTTGCCTTGCTAACATCTTTTTAATTTATAAGCTTCAAAACTTCTATCTCATTCTTGGATGTTAAACATGATATATGTTGAATATATAAAAAATGGATATTTGTGAAAAAAATTTATGCTGCTTTATGAAATGTAAAAAACCTGATAAAATAATTAAAGTAATGATAAAAAATAATTAATATTTCCAGTAATAGTTTCAAATTAAATTTTTAAAAAGCAAAATTTATGGTGTTCTTATACTTCGGTAACAGACTGCAGAACCAACCCTATTTTTAGAAGTATAAAATAGAGAGGTTGAGGTACACATATCAGCACAAAATGTGTACGGCTGACGGTCCAAGCGCCGCCATCTGGCAATTCTACATAATCGATAACGGCATTCGCTTTGTGTAGAATGGTGAGTACAAGATCAATTAAACTTCTTCATTTTTTTTCTTTTTGGGGTTAAAATTATGACCTATTTTATTAAGATAACAATTATTTAAGCATTTACGAATAGCATTGTGAAGAAACAGACGATTTTAATTCAGAAATTTTTAATTATTCAATTTTTTAGCAAGTGATGTAAAGTGTCGATAACATTTTTATAGCTGTGTTCATAAAATCGCTTATCATAGTTTTCTTTTCAGAAGCAAGACTGAACCAAGATAGAGAAGAAAGAAGAGTGTTTTTAGAAAAATTTGATTTAGAGAGAAAAGAAAGAGAAGCATTATTAGAAATACTTTTGAAAACTTTGGATAAAAATTGAATAAAATTTTTATAAAATTGAAAAAATTCTTTATTTATTTATTGGTTACATTCTAACTATTTGTCCAATTTGGGGGTAAACAATTAAAATAATCTGATGTTGCACTACTGTATAAGCATGTGTGACAGTTTGTAAGTAGTGCACCAACAATATACAGTTTATCAATAGACTGAAGATACAATTTCAATTTTTTTTTTTAAATCTAGAAAAGCAAATATCTGAATTATTTTCCCAAATACCCATTCCACACACTCTCTTACTGAACTCATCCTGGAATTAAATACTTGTTGCTCGGGTGTTAAGCTAGCACCTCGGAATGGTGTAATGAGGTGTTGACGCAAAGGATAACCAGAATCTCCATATAAAACAAATTGGGTCCCGTTCTCAGAACAAGGAATCGCAGCCAAATGCTCTAACAAATTAGATTCTCTTAACATTCCACTGTCGTGACGTCTTCCTTCTATTGGTCCAAATAAATTAGCAATCATACCATCGGGTGTAACCACTGATTGAAATTTCAAACAATTTATACGTTTATGGCCACTGAATACCACCCTTTGATGTGTTTTTGGTCGACAAATAGGACGTGCCGTTCCATCTATGAACCCCCAACAATTTGTCAAAGGAGCACCTTTTGCTGTTATTACTTGGCTAAATAAATTTAATTTTTCTCTTGTTAGTTTTATCTCGTTGATATTCAATAACAATTTGGAATGGCTATTGTATATGATATTTACTGTTTCATGCACAAATCGTGAAAGTTCATTTTTTGATCTCCCCAACAAAACAGAAATATCATCAAGTCTATTAGGATAAACTAATCTTCGTAATAAAATACATAATGCATCAATTCCAAGTGAACGTGATCCATTTTCACAAATGATTACAGATGGAAAGCGTAAAGCAGAATGCAGATGAAACAAATCGTCTCTTAAAAATACGTAAATATTAAAAATTTTATAAGTATTATTCTTTTTTTTTAAGTATTTACTTTAATTTATAAATATATCACTTACCGAAAAGAAAACAAGCAATCAGAATCAGTCATTTTATTTAAATTTATTCTTGCTTTTGTCACAGGTAGATCTTTAGTGATATGATATAATAAAACGGCTTCTTCATCTCTATCATACTGATCCAACAATACTAATACCTCATCACTAGACTACAAATATAATTTTAATTAAATGCTTAATGTGGGAAAAAAAAAAAAAAAAGTGAACACAGCCTTTGAGTTTCCGTGATCACTTCACATTACATTAAAAATATTAAATAATTAAATCAGACAAAAAATTAACGTTTAAATATAATCAGACAAAAAAACGTTTAAATATTTAAAAGTTCGGAACACAGCTGTATTCGATTATTAGAATCCTTCAAAAGATAGAACTGTTTTGTAATGTTTCATCCTGAAGAGGGCCTCTAAAAAACGGCCGAAAACGTTAGATTATTAAAATATTTTGACTGCTGGAAGTAGTATTGAGGTGTTAATTGTTGTTTGTAAATAATTAAATAATTTTTGGATTAAAATCATCTGTTTCTTTACAATGTTATTCATAAATGCTTAAATAATCGTTATTTTAATAAAATAAATCATAATTTTGACCCCAAACACAAAAAAATGAAGACGTTTAAACCGATCGTGTACTCACCTAGCTACACGTAGCAAACACCATCATCGACGGTCCAGAACTGCCAGATGGCGGCGCTCACCCGTTAGCCGTACACGTTTTGGGCTAAATACGTGCGCCTCAACCTCTCTAATATATCAAAATTAAAGGCTGATATATATATTGACTCCATATTTATATTTAAAAACTAATAATATATCTAACTTACCATGTAGAGATCAATTAAGAACTACTGATAAACATGTTAGAAACTTCTATGCTTTACCATCATTATGTCATAGATTATAGAACAGATCATTATGTCAAACTTCATTTTGCCACTTTGACCATTCAAAATGAAGTTATATCTGAATCATATTCTATTTTGAACAACCAAATGACAAAACAGGATAAAGTTTTATGATGTAAAGATCTGAAGACTGATCTGAAGTCTGTGTTATCATATAACAAAGAAATTTAATTAGTTAAATTTACTTTCATTTAAAAGACATTTATTTAAAACTTCCTCACATATCTGTCATCAACAAAAGTAATTGCTTTTGCTATCCAGAAAAAATTAAATTAAGAAACAGATATAAAAATTATAAAGTACTGATTAAAAATTAATTATTTGTTATCAATGCTTTATTTTTTACATTAGCAAAGTAATTACTTTTGTTGTTTAATCTGAAACATTTAAAATATAATATAAATCAATATATGTTAAAGTATATATTAGTATTTAATCAGAATTAAAATAAATGCTTATTTAAAGCATTTGTTTTAGCTATTTTGTTCTTTTAATTTAAAATGGGAAAAAACAATAATTAATGTATATATATACCAAAACTAAAAGTAGTTTTTTCTGTATCCAAATACTATTTTGTTTTTCTCCTGTAGATATTAAAAATAACACTTAACAAAAGTACTTGGTTTTAATAGAAATCACATTTGCACCATCTTCAAGATTATCAAAAATATTTTATATTTTAATTACTAAAACAAATGAGGCAGAAGAGCAATTGAGAGTAACTTTGTGATTGTTTTTATTTTATATTTCTAAAAGTAAGCTTATTTTGAAAAGTAATAATTATATTTCATATTCTTAGGTTATAAATTACTTTGAAATGTATCATGTTTGAATGACTAAGCACTTTAAAGAAGGGAGGATGTTTCTGTAAAACTTAACAGCATATAATTTTTACAAAACACATTGTAAAAATCATATAAATAAAATTTAAGCAAAACAGAAATGAGCTTCTAAAGAATAAACTGATTCACATAAAACAATTTTTGGTTGAATCATTTATATTGGATATTCTAAGTATAAATTTTTCAATTTATTAAATAATTAAATTTAAATAAATGAGTTTCTAATAATAAATTATTTTTACTATTATTGTTTATGCAGTAATAATTTCATGCTTTTTAAAAGTTACATACATTTTTGTAAAAAAATTGCAAAGTAATGTCTGATTTTGGTTTTTTTGCACTGCATGGTTAGCTAAATGCCAAAGTATCTTCTTGCCACATATTGGTATGATATAGCAAGTTACAACTTAAATTCACTCACTCAGTTCCATCTGTATTCAACATATCATGTCATGTTGTTAAGAATGTTTTATGTGATCCAATAGTCACATAATTCACCAGTACCAAAAAGACAATGATCGCAAATTTACCTATAAATTAAAAATATTCTTATACTACTATTTAAAGATTGCCTACCATAGGAAATTCTTAACTGCATTTATTTTACTAGTCAATCAGTTCATTTATTTTTTTTAGTACAAAAAACTATTAGATTTAAAGGCACCAGACATCAGTAAAAAAAAATAGATTGATAAATAAATAAATAAATATAAAGACAACATATTAAAATATAGTGTGCAAATTTATAATGAATAAGATACAAATATTTGCATTGTATAAGTGTGTCAAACCTGCATGCTGTTGCATTTTATATAATTAGGTGTGCAATTTTAGAGATTTTATATTATGATTTTTCATTATTTAAAAATATTAATGTATATTAATAATTACAATTCAAATAATAATAAATTATATTGGTCATAAGTTTGGATGATATTCTAGTTGAATGTAAACAGGAAACTGCATTCTGAATTACTATTGTTATAATTTTTTTAGGTTAATGTTTATTTAAATTAATAAAATAATCTTAGAATATTTAAAAATTATTTTCTGTTTCATTCATACATGAGTATACGTATTTTAATTTTTCATATTTTAATAAGAAAATAAAAACCAATTACCTTATTCCTAAATTCATTGATTCTGCTGTACCAATCATAGATATTGCTAAGGCCATATTGTTACAAATCTTAGCTGCTTGACCTGTTCCAATATCACCACAATGTATAACATTTTTTCCCATACATAACAATAATTCTCTCGCAGCTTGATATTCAGTTTTTTTACCTCCTACCATAAATGTTAATGTACCATCTTTAGCTGCAATTACTCCTGAAAATAACAAACAAAGAATTTGAATTTGAATATACATACAGGTAACCCCCATATAACATGGGAGTTATGTTACAAAAAATTTCCATGTTATGCGAATCTGTGTTATACGAAACAAAGAACTAGTACGAAAAGGAGGGTTAGGTTCCAAAAATTAAAAAAACGTGCTATTATATTTTCATAATTAAGATATATATCTTTATTAAAATTTTCTTAAACGATACATATTAATATAAATTAAACAATGTTTTCTTCGTCATCACTAAGCACTATTAACCGAGGGAGTTTTCTTTTTGGCAAGATATTCTTATCCTCTGAGCCTTTTCTGCATTATCTTCAGATCCATACTCTACATTTTGCAAAAAATATGTTATTTTAGATTGCTTGCTTTTAGTTAAAAGATCTTTATAAATTTCCTTATATGGTGCTAAGCACTTATGAAAAATAAAGCAATATGGAATAAGGAAAAACATCTGGCAACACAAAATCAGAAGCGTCAAGATCTGGCAACACTGAAACAAGTTTTGAGAAGGATTGTGTATATCGACAGGAGGTGGAAAAGAAACTTTACATACTTAAGTACTAATAGTTCACGAAAATAATAATTTTCGTGAACTATTAGTACTTAAGTATGTGAAAATTTATTACATTTCATGTTATACGAGGGTTTTACCCAATTCTCGAACTGTATTAGAATGAATCTGTGCTACAGAAGTGCCCCGTTATAACCGGGTTACCTGTATATACATATAAGTCAATTTCTTACTCAATTTATCAACACAAATATTTTGCTTTTCTGCTATATTGTGTATGCCACTTTATATTACTATGTTTTTATTATGTCTGTAATTTGGCTGTACATTATTACTTTATTTTAAACAGCAGAAACCTTAATTAACCAGTGCCAATTTTTAATTTAATGAGTAATTTGGAGCTTTTTTGAAAAACCATCTTCAGGTTCTTTTAACATAACTATGCAAAATAAAAATAATTAAATATTAAAAACAGCACAAAGTATCAAACTTCCTATAAATACTTTTAAAAAAACATCAATAATTGCATTCTATCATCCAAATTCAAATAAAAAATTCACGTGTGTTAGAACTATTTAAAAACTGGAAGTTTAAGTGTGTACACATGTGTGATGAAATCAACTGAATTTAGATAGCAGAATTCTGTTATACATTTGTGAGATCCTAATTGCCTCTTACACGTCGAGTTGGTAAAACTCGCCCACTTTGTCTTTTAGATAGCTTTCTATAGATGGCGAGAGGGTGAGCAAGTCGGCAGGCATCCTTTCAAAGACAGGAGACAGGTTTAACAATTAATAACAAAGCATTTATTGATTAACTAACTCTAGATTACAGAAGACTATATAAATGCTAAGATTAAATGCAGTGATGCTATACTATTTATACAAAATGGGCAACTAATCTCAAAACTATGTCACTTGCCTAATCTCTAGTTCAAGAGAGAGTTTTTTCAAGTTCTAATAGCTCCTAAATACCTCTCGGGCATAACGGACAGCCAATATGGCAAACATCCTCGGTATCTTCCAACCGAGGATGTTCACCAATGGAAGAGGTAAGAATCCTCGGTATCTTCCTACTGGTGTCTTCTCCCTTTTTGCTGGATCAGGTCTGCTATATGAGGTGGCACTATCACCAATTATAACTTCCTATGACAAATTGCCCCAAGCTTCCGGTAGCTTGCACTTTTATACTATTGTTGTGGGAAAGTTGTCACATGATTGTCAAATGCTGATGCTGACACAGCATTTTTTACTGCTAAGTGTCAACTTTCCCACTGACTTGTTTTTACAACCGGTGACCTCTGATGTAATTTCTACCTCTCCGTTTTTTTCTAATGAAGATGTTTACATTTTGAAAACAATTAACATTAATTTTTGATTTTAAGAGCCCTGTAAAGATCCACGGGCTCACATATTCTTTCGAAATTATTTAAAGGAAGTTTGATATTTTGTAATGTTTTAAATAATATATACAAAAAAATTTAAACAACATTAAAAGAACTTAAAGATAACCTTTTAAAAAGTCATTCAATAAATTAAAAAATTGGTTCTACTTAGTAAAAATTTTTATTATTTAAAATCAATATCTGTTTGTGACTAGTTTAATTTTACCTAAACATTGCATCATGGTTGTTAATTTCAATATTACACAAATAAAAAAATGTATTTAATAAAAATTAACATTTTATTAATAAAATTATCTATGCAATAACTTGTAAAGTAATTTTAACATTTTATGTTTAATCAACTGACTGATAATTCCAAATTTTATATAAATAATATGCATAAAATCAGTCATTTTATCACGGAAGCTGGATATTTTTACAATGAAGAATTCATTTAATTAATTTATTTTCTTAAAAGACAAAAAACCTATTCCAGCAACAATTTTTTAATTTTATCTAATGCTTTCGACTATCTTTGTAGCCATCGTCAGGATTGAACACTTTGAATAAAATTCTTTAACATTAAAATATTTAAACATTAAAGAATTTTATTCAAAGTGTTCAATCCTGACGATGGATACAAAGATAGTTGAAAGCATTAGATAAAATTAAAAAATTGTTGCTGGAATAGGTTTTTTGTCTTTAAGTATTTACAACAATCCAGTTGAAGCTCAATATATAACTTATTTTCTATAGAAAATTTTAATAATTTAAAAAATGTTACCTCCTGATACTGGAGCATCTAAAAACACAGCACTTTTATTTTCTACTAAAGTTCCAATTTCTTGAGATACAGCAGGGTCAATTGTACTACTGTCTACAAGCAATGTTCCAGGCTTGACCTGTCTAAGAAGCAAAATTCCATATTATTAGATTAATATTATGCAGATAAAACTAAAAATAAACTTTATAAAGACCAATAATTATTGTACCGTACTTTCACACCTAACAAAATAAAAAAATAGCAGACTAGATTTTAAGTACAAAAAAAAATACTAAATTTATAAGAGATTTCTTCTTTACATATATTTGAGACATTTTGAAATAAATACAAGCCTACATCAAGTGCTCATAGTTAAATAGACCTAATTCTTATTGTCAATATATAACACTTTCAGATTTATATTACAAGTACCATTTACAATTATCCCTTTCTCTGCATTTAGTATGGGGTAATTGTAAATGCCAAATTTCTGTGACACACAGCCAAAACAGAGATAAATATTCTACTTTACTGTTCTCTTTTACTAATTAATATAAAAATTTGGCACAAATGATGGCAGCACTTGCATTTCTAAATGACACCACCTAATGCTGAAAAAGAAAAAAATAAAGAAAATAAAATCTTAAATACAAGCATCAAACCATAACGAAGACCTTCATAAATAAATTACTTTCTGTACTTTTAAAGAACACCAGATTTTCAAATTATGCTGTACTGTACAATAATAGACAGAAAAAACCCCAGGCAACAATAGTTTATTAACTAAAAAATTTACAAATTCTTACTTTAGTATTTCAGTGTTTACATTTTTAGTCACTATAACATTGAAATATTTTTGCTATGTTTTGCTTTCAATAAAAGTAACTGAAACAATGAAAATCTTAAATATAATTAAAATAAAATGCTGAAAAATTTTCAGATAAATCTTCAAATAAAATTAACTTTAAAACAAATTACTGGTATTAAGTTAAAAATGTTTTAATATTTTTCAAAATGTATGTATTCCGGTATATATATACATATACACTGTATTTACTTGCATATAAGATGAGGTTATTAATCATTTTTCACAGTTTCAAATTTCTAGCTCATCTTATACGCGCGAGCAAAAGATTCTTTGTGTTTTTGCAAATAATTTTGTGAACTGTGTATTTGCATTTTTTACTGGATGCTTAACCTCTTGTATTTAAAAACATAAGTATTTTATCTGGGCCATTTGAATCATCCTTGTGTATTATCAGAAGTAAAGATGAATAGCAATAGGAGAAGCAAAGCTTTTGAATTGAATTCCAGATTGAAATTCCAAAATCACACTGATCCCAATATAAGATTTAATCCTTTCCCACACAAAAGCAGATAATTATTTGGAAATCAGAATTCAGAGAAACTCATAAGTGTAATCGACAGAGAGCAAATTCAACTGTTAAAAAGTAGCAAAAAAAAAAAAAAAAAAAAAGTTCCTCATTGTCCAGATTTTACAAGATTTTTCATTAAAGTTTAAAATACCAGTAATTTTTGCAGGACAATGTGTGCATTTATGTTCATTTGATATTTTTATTAAAATTAGAATTGTTTATTAAATCTAAATTTTTTTATTTTGATCTTTAAATTCACACACACACACACACACACAAGTTGAGTTCCATTAACAAATAGAAGTTATTATAAGTTTAAAGTTTTGCTCTCAATTAAATTTAAAATGTTATTGTCAAATACAGCTTAAAAAGATGAGGTATTTAATCAAAGATTTAATTTGAGTTGCTGTCATTCAACTTCAAGGTAATGCTAGCTTTAAGAAATTAAGAACCATCAGTAAACAATGAATTAATTTTACAATGTAACTTTTAAAAGGAGAATTTCAAATAAATAAATTACAAATAAGATTGGAATATTTTTCAAAATTAATATCTAAACAGTATAAATCAAAACCAATTTAAGTTTTCAAATGGTCATTAAAAATTAATTTTTGATTTTATCCCATAAAAAGGTTTCTACATCAAAAGTAAAACTGATACATCAGCAAAGAAATATTAAAACATTTCTCATTTCAAATTCAAAATTTGTGTTTTACAGTAATGATTCTAAGCATTTTAAGAACTTTGAGTTTTTAATCTAACATTCTATTCAATCAAAGTACAATATCTAAAATCCAAATTGTTATTATTAATTATTAATATCTAAATAAAATATAAGTTGTATAGGCTAATGAATTCCTAAACAGCCTTCAGTAAGCTACAGTGTAATCCATACATATCTAACATTTGAAAAAAAATGTCATTTAATTAAACATATTATTATTATTAATTTTAATTATTTAAAACTAAATTGGTGTAAGCATAGTGAAATTAATCAATCATTTGTCATATGCATCCAACTCTTCTAAGTAGAAACTTTTTCTCAACACTGTCAACACTCAACAAGTGTTACTACAGTAGAACCTCGAAAACTCGGCACTCGATAACCCGGCACTCCGGATAACTCGGCCACACCCTGGCAGGGCAAAAAAAATCCTTAGTTAATTAATTTTCATGATAAAGATAGCTTTATGCCTCATAAAGTAATAATAGACCTCATAAAGTAATAACAGACCTCATAATTTTTCTGAGGTCTGTCTTATCAGGTAAATTACTGTACAGTATATTCATTAATTTTCATTTTCATGTAGTAAAGGCTCTAGGCCTTCATAAAAGACGTACTTTTCCTTTGTTTAAGGGTATTTGGGCAGTTTATTCTCTGTTGTATTCTCAAGTAAATAATACATACAAGTACAGTACAGTATTTTCTGAGGAAACACTCATACCTATTTTTTTAAACCCCATTCCCGATAACCCGGCATTTTCACAAACTCTGCCACTCTTCGGTCCACATTAGACCGAGTTTTCCAGGTTCTACTGTATCTGTTTATGTCATAACTTGCCACAGTTATCTTATTATGCAAGATGGTTTAAATTCACAAAATACTTTTTCTAAATACTATGTGCTGAAATTGGGGTGTGTCTTATATGTCCCTGCATCTTTTATGCCACAAAAATACTGTATTTTTGTATATGTATATATATATAAATTTTATTCATAGAATATTTTTACTCATTTTACTCATAAAGCACTATAATTGATATATAGGAAAAATTAATAAATAAAAAATGAAACGTGTATGTATTATAACAAAAAACATAAATCATATGAAATTGAAAAAATGATTTATAAAAAATTGTGGGTTAAAATTAAGTCCACTTGTCATTTCTAAACAAAAGTATAATAAAAAATAAATTTAAATTACTGCAATAAGAACAATGCAAAAGTTACATCCTATTGTTAATTAATTTTTATATTCTTAAGGTGCACGAAATGTAACATTTGTGTAGTTGGGACAGGCTTGCGCATGTGCTACAAATGATGCAGTGAGTGTTCATCATGATCCACTGGCTGTTGGTTTTCCTACAAACACTAAGGGATTCACAGTTCCAACTGAGTTGTTGTTTGTAGCAGAACAAATTCCTCATTAACATGAAAACCTTGTCTGAAGAATGTTTATAAAAATTATAGTAATCCTAAAGATTTAAATTATTACGGCAAAAACTAGAAAATGCATGGAAAGAAACCTCAGTAAAATGCATCCTCAAAAACACTAAACTAAAATGAGATCACTAGGCCATTTTCTCATGTCTTGCTCAGTTTACCAGCAGTTCACAGGATGTTCACAGCATGCTTGAAATGCAGATTTTGCTGTGAGCATGCTATGACAATTATATTACAGATTCAGCTCACCTAATGTGTAAGCATCTTTATATATAATTAAATATAGTTATCATAATATATCATAATATCTTAATATAGTTAACATAAAATATCATAATATCTTAATATAGTTAACATAAAATATTAAAATTAATAGCATTGAATTAAATAATTTAAAATAATAGTTCAGTTTTAAATTAAACAATTAAATCATATTAAATGGATAGTTTTAAACTGAAATCATCTATTTCTTTTGAACGTATAAATACGACAAAAATGAAACAATATTCAATTTAATGTTATATTTATTTATAAAACAAATTTGGTAAAAATGCCAAATTTATTTGTAATTTGTAATTAATATTTTCAAAATATTGTCTGATTATTTATGGCAATTGTAGGTGTCTACTTGCTAAGCATTGGGTTTTGGTAGATATTTACATTTTATATTTATTTAAAGTAATATGAATGTAAATATATGTTTTACAATAATTTTTTTATTTATATTGATGCTAATTAAGTCAATTAAACTATAAATAAATATATCCAAATAAACAACATAATCAATGAATTTTAAAATCAGAACATAAGTTTACACTTCTATATTCATGGATAATTTAAATACAAGCAACCTGATATGATGCCAAATTTGTTCTGTGGAGAACACACTTATTAAGTGTTTTATTTTAGTTGTGTAAATTTAACATTCTATATCAAAGTATTGAAATATTTTCTACAAAATTTTAATGAAACAAGATAATTAATGAACATATTGATGTGGAAAAATGTTTACATGCAACTCTACTATCTTCTTAAAATATAGAATTATTCTTTAGAAAATCTATATCAATTTTGTGCTTAATTCTAAGGAATATAAAAGAGAACAAGAATAAATCAAGTAGTATAAAATTATATGACATTTTCTACTCCTTAATATAAACTGAATTATCCAACTTATCTGATCTTAAAATATCTAAATCTAAATAAAAATTGTAGATTCAAATAAAATTAAAATAGAATAGAAAAATAAGTAAATAATTAGTTGCTGATTCTTATAATGCTAATATTAGACAGTAACAGTTTATTGCAATTTAATAAAAATTATTTATTTCATGATAAAGTCAATTTATATTTTATCGAATAAAATTATATCATTAATAAAAAAATTAAACTGATACAGGATTCATATTAGATCTAAAATATTTTAAGCCATTTTGACTTATAGATCATAAAAATATGAATGAAGTACAAAGAATCATGAGTCAAATTTAAAAATTTATTTCCTGGTAGTCATTGATCTCATATAATTAAATACATATTTATTAACATTTGATACAGATTCCTTACTTACAATAATACAAATCTTAATTTAAAGTATAATAGCTGAGAATATTACAAAATAAAATAAATTATTCTTTTTTTCTGCTTCCATATGTTCAAATACTTCAGTAGCTTTGCATTTGGAAACTGAAAAACTGATGGCCAATTAAGTTGATTTAAGCTTTCAGTTTATTTACATTTTTACAAAATTTTATAATTTACAAGAATTAATTATAAAATATCTTAAATTATTTTTCATTCCTGATAGTTATTTTGCTGTGTCAATTTACAAAATTAATCCATTCCTATAGATCATTTGTTATAGGTTTTTGTTCATTATGTACTAAATACCTTTAATTATTTAATAACGTAAATATAATTGATAAAATTAAACGACTGAAATATAGTAGTATGCTTACTTATTGTTAATCAATACTAATATTATAAAGAGGTAAAGTTTGTAAGTTTGGATGTAGGAGGTAATCTCCGAAACTACTCATCAAATTTCAAAAATTCTTTCACCAATATTTAGAATGAACCTTCAGGGTAGACATAGGCTGTATATTATTCTGTTAAACATTCATATAAATTAAAAGATATCATCTAGGTAAGCGTTATATTTTTGATGTCAGTGGGCGGCAAGGGGCAAGACGCATATGTAATACAAGATAGGTAATCACGCAGCACAGTCGCATGGTTGGTGAGATACACAGTGCACATGTCCGAACTTGTATATTATATAGATGTTGAAATTCCCCTCCCGCAGGGAAGAGGGACAAAATTAAGGCTTACCGTGAAGAACTTGGCTTCTATTATACTATTTTAGATGTGGTTTTTTGCGTTTTAATAGCGTATGTCACTAAGAAAGTACACTAAGAAGGGATTTTTCGAAATTCCTTCCCACAGGGAGTGTTATACATTTCTAATAGATACATTTTGAGCCACAGCAACACACGGTAGGGTACAGCTAGTAAATAATAAACTTTTACCTATCAGTAGTTTCATTAAATTCAGATAATTAAACTGTCAAAAAAATTTAGGAGCCTAAAATACTTGTGAAACCTTTATCGTTTGGACCACTTAAAAAGTAGTCCAATTCCCAAATTTTTGCATTATCTAAAGCAGTGATTCTCAAAGTGAGTTCTGCAGAACCCTTGGGTTCCACGAAGTAAGGTCAGGGGTTCCGTAAAGCTACATTGAAAAGCAACATTTAATCATAACATAAGAAATCGGTACTGTACATATCATATCTTATGATGTCAATGAATTTCCACTGACAGCAAGTGTTGCCAGACTAGAATATTCAGAGTTGGCAACACTGGTGATGGCTGGCTTTGTCGGTTAGTTATGCACCAACTCTCGTGCAGGAAGGTTGTGCTGCTCTACTGTTACCACAAGCATTTCTTCTACTCAACAAATTATTTTTACTATTTTTAAAGCCCTACAATGGATCGATGGTTAAAAAGAATTAGTAAAGCAATAACATCCAAAGAAGATACAGAAAAAGGTGAACTTGCAAAGGAACAATCTGCAACTACTAGTTCAAAAAACACGGAATATGTTCCCTCTTGTTCTGAATGGCAGCCATGGAAAAAAGAAACGCAAGTATGATCCTCAGTATTTGTCATATGGCTTTACTAGCACTGGTGATGAAGAAGCCCCAGATGCCATTTGTATACTTTGTCACACAAGATTAGCTAACAGTTCGTTGGCACCAGCAAAGGTGCAAAGACACACGGAGACCAGGCATAGTGTCTATAAAAATAAAGATAAATCTTTTTTTGAAAGGAAACTTGAAAGTTTCAATAAAACTATAAATTTCATGGTGAAGAAATGCAGAACAGACAATGAAAATGCAACTGAAGAGTCATAATAAAGCATCTTATCATATTTCTCTTCATGGCAAAGCAACACTATTGGTGAATCATTGATAAAACCTATATTGAAAGATGTACTGTAGTTTCATGTGTATTTGATGAAAACTCTGCTCAAAAGGTTGAATCTATATCTCTATCTAATGATACGGTGTCAAGGCGTATTGCTGATATTTCTGATGACATTGAAACCAAACTTATTTCACAATTGCATGCATGTGATGCTTACGTGTTGCAAGTGTTACGTGTTGTTGTATGGCTGGACTGGCAATTCTACTTGTGTTTGGTAGATATGACTTCAATAAAACAATTGAGGACAATTTGCTTTTCTGTAAGAGTTTAGAGCTTCATATCACAGGAAAAGATATATTTAATTGTGTTGATAATTATATAACAAATCATGGTATTGGTTGGAATAAATGCATTTCAGTGTGCACTGATGGAGTGAAGGCTGTGATGGGGAAATTATCTGGTGCTGTAACTAGACTAAAAAATGTTGCAAAAAACTGCAGCAGTAATCACTGCATTCTTCACAGATACACATTAGTGACAAAAAATTTCTGCTTCATTAAAGCTAGTTTTGGACAAAGCTGTGCAAATTATCAATTTTATTAAGACTCGGCCATTACAATCAAGAGTATTTAAAACTTTATGCGAAAATATGGGTAGCCATTAAACGACTCTTCTTTTACATACAGAAGTAAGGCGGCTTTCAAGAGGAAATGTGCTGATGAGAATGGTTGAATTGATAAAAGAATTGCAGTTTTACTTTCTTCAACATAAATTTAATTTGTCTGATAGATTAAGAAATAATGTATGGCATGCAAAACTTACATATTTAGCAGATGTTTTTTCAAAATGAATGAAACATGCCTATCTCTACAAAGAAAAGAAACAAACATTTTTCTAATTCAAGATAATATGATATCTTTATCTCGTAAATTACAGTACTGGATTTTAGAAGTAGAGCATGGTAATTTTGACTGTTTTCCCCTTCTTACTAAATTTCTACAAGAGTCTGAAATGGAATTGGATGCAGAGACACTCAATGATATTAAAGATTGTCTCAACAGCTTATCCACACCTCTTACTGAGTATTTTCCTAACTTGGAGTACAAAGAATATTATTGGGTACAAAATCCATTCACAGTAACAAAAAAACCAACAGGATTTCTGTCAGTGGATTATGAGAAATTTATAGAAATTACATCCGATACTCAGTTAAAGGCTAAATTTGAAGAAGTGCCATCAGATGTATTCTGGGGGAATCTACTTGAAGAATATCCTAAAATATCCAAACAGGCCATAAAAATACTTTTGCCCTTTATGACAACATATTGGTGTGAATCAGGATTTTCAAGATATGCTAGCACGAAAATTAAGTATTGAAGCAGACTGGATGCTGCCCCAGATATGAGAATCCAGTTATCAAAAATAAAACCAAATTTCCAGAGGATACTTATGTCAAAAAACAGATGCATTCATCTCACTAAAATTTGATATTCCAATTTACAATGTTTCAAATAAAATATTTCTTTTATTATAATAAGTAATAATTTAAATAAGGGTTCCATTATATTACAAATAATGCGAAAGAGTTCCATTGCAAAAAAAGTTTGAGAACCACTGATCTAAAGCAATCTGTGTGTGTTCAGCTGTTGTCCATGTTACCAACAATATTGAAAGTTCAGTCATGCACATTTAGTTATATATATATATATATATATATATATATAAGAAAACACAAAATGAAACACTATGTTTTTGTTTGATGCTAATAAGTATATGTCATAATATGATTTATAAATAAATACTAAACTCTTATTATTCAAATATTTAAATTTGCACAATTAATCTGTTATAAAAAAAATTTTATTTACATTTGTTATAATATAGAAAATAAATTGTAACAAATGTAAATAAAATGCTTATAATTTATATTAGAAAACAATTGATAATTTAGTTTCCTACTGCAAAATTCCATTTTCTCCTGTATAAACTTCTTGTACGTGTGGACTAGATGGTAACATAGATATTATTCTATCACATTTTTCTGATACTTCTGCTGGGTGTTGGGCAATAATAGCACCATGATCCGCTAATTTCGTCATTGCCTCAGGATAAACATCATACACTACTAAAGAATGGCCCTTTTCGATGAGATTCCGAGCCATGTGACTCCCCATTTGTCCAAGTCCAATAAATCCAACTGGCACTTTTGATACATTTCTATATGGTAAAACTTGAAAAAGAAAATTATTATTATTGAACAGTTAACAATCAATTATATATTAATAAATCTCACATATTTTAGATAATACTTTAAAGACATTTCATATTCTAATGACTTTTTACTAAATGACATAATTCAAATATTCTATTTGAATATAGACATTTGAATTAAATATTTCAAATAATATTCTGTTTTGTTGGATTAATAATTGCTATTTATTTACGAAATTATTAAATTTTTTAATTCAACATTTCAAGAAGATATTATAAAGTAAGTTTTGAAATTGATTGAAACATGAATTTTTATCATTAAAATTATATATATATATTTGGTTTGTCAATGGTGATTGTAAAATCATGAAGACAAAATTGTGAAAAAAGACAGATTGTGAAGACAGAAAAAATTTTTGTATTAATATATTTTCACTGTGGATTCTTATAGTAAATATAGGTTTATACCACTATCTCAAATGCAATCATGTTTCAGTATCATTTCAGAAAACTTAAAAATTCACCATAACTATTATTTTCCTTTACTCTTATTCAAGTTGAAAATTAGAAGAAAAATTGTAAAGAATTTCACAATTTTTATTTAATTTTTAATCAATAAAGTAACCATAAACTTTAAATAACTATTTTATCTATAAATTTAGCAGACTATAGATAAATGTTTTTGAACTTTGTATTGTGGTTTTACATTAACCCACATTAAACCAGACATATTTACGTCTAGTATAATCCAGTTTAATGTAAATTAGCATTTATATATAATATACAATAGTTATATACACATCTTACTCCTTAATTCATGCAAAATTTAATTACACTGTAAAAAAAACAAGATATTGTTCTATTGATAAATATAACGCTTGTAATTTTATAGATTTTAAAAAATATTGTTTTTTATATAACTGATAAGCAATGACTATAAGAAGCATGAATTCCAGCGTGTCTCGTGTACATCTTGTATATTTCAGCCATGCTGAAATATACAAGATGCGTAAATGCCAGATCTGACTGCACGTATATTATTATTATACAAGATAAAATTTTAAAAAAATATACATATCTTACCCGATATACAATTTGGAGTTAAATACTTTTTAAAACGTCCATCTCCCTTTTTAATTAATCGACTAGAAATTGAGTGAAACCTACAGAACACAGAAGCCATGGCAATTGATGATAAACTCGCAACTGGCGTGTATATATTGCCGCCAAATATTGCTTAATTTGGCATTTCACAATAGAATAAATAACAATTTGTGTAAATAATAATTATTTTTTTCCTTCAAAAAATAATTAATTTTAACAGCTATTTGATAAATTCAAGAATATTGTAGAATTTTTAAATCAGATTTATGTTTTATGTCGAAGAGAACGATTCAAATCTTATCAGAATATTTTCATCTAATTGAAGGAATTTTCCGGGGCAAGCTGTGTGTTCCAATATACGACATATTCCATGTGTTATTAAACATTTATATAATATTTTCTGTTTAGAAATTTATCTTCTCTATGAGATATTTCGGTATACAAAACCTTTGTGAATATTTATCCGAATTTCTTAGATTTTAGGGTATATTCGCTGAAGAATAGCAATATAAAGCATAATTGTTATCCACCAACGATTATCGATGTTAAATGTATGTATATATTTTATAATATTCACATAGGATCGAATCCATTTGTTATAAATACTCCAACTACAAAAATTCCGTGTAGTTTAGCTTCTCCTAGACTATTACGTTTTACAAGGAAAAAATTGGCGCATCGTTGTAAAATGTACGCTTACAATATGTTTAAATCGATTACTTTAACTCAACACACACAAAAAAAATGGTTAAGGCGTTTCCTGTCATTCTTCTATGATCAAAGCATTTCATAGAAGACCGGCGAAAGATTTTTACGAGAAATCTTCGCATGAACTTCGTTGCTGTAATATACTATTCCACTTGATAAAACTAAAATATAAAAAAAAAATTAAAATTCAACATTGAAAAAATGTAATAATGAATATAATGGTAAATATATTCTAAGATAATAACGAAAATGTCAAGTGAACAATGCCATTTGATTATGATAATATGTTTTTCTGATTAAGGTGCAATGAATGTAATCAACCCTGAGATATTGCTAACAGGAATATCCTTTTAAATGTCCATCAGAAAAAAGAACAAAAAACCGGTCTTGACAGTATTTTAGAAAAAAAATCGATAATTTTGTTAAATTACAGAACAAAAGAAAAAAAATTGTTCAGCAGTATATCGTAAACATATTGCTTTGTGTATTTTTAATGAAAATAAATTATTGGGCCAACTATAATGAAAATAGATTTTGTCGCATTTATGGAACATCTGTTGTTAAAAATTTCAGAAGAAAGGAAGCCAATAAGATCAGGTATGCAAAATATAGTAAAAAATCGAAAATTAAATTTAAAAAATAAAATAATAAATTATTGTTTTTCATGTAAGAAAACGCATGTGGTGTGTAAACATTGGAAATCTCAACTTTTTCATTAATATCATTAAAATACATGTATTACTTTCACTGAAGTTATATTTCAACCATTGTTTCTTGTGTTCTGAGTCGTGTTTTAACAATGCATCTGACAGAACGAATTGAGAGATTTTCTATAGTTATCATATGACTAAAGTTGTCAACTCTCTCCAACTCTCTCCGATTCATGGGGAACTTCCAGAATTTGTCAAAATTTTAAATTCTCTACCTTCTGAAATTAGGCCTATTCCCCCCTATTTACTAGATAAGATAATCAAATTTTGGGTATACATTAAACAAACTAAAGGACAAGCGTTTTGATGTTGCTAGCAGTAAGAAATGTTAAATCTCCCGAAATTTTTTATTCATGGAATAAGAAACATCCTCTCACGAGTGTATTTTGAGCCATACTAGTGAGTGTTTTCAATAATATGGCTCAAAATTTGTTAGGGACCCGGGAAGGTAATAACAGGTTGTTACTATAACTTGCTTTTTCAGTAAAAGAATGTCGACGCGAGGTAATGAATGACGTAGTGTTGTGTTCGGTGTTGTGTTTCAATTGATTTGATTTTAATTTGATTTTAATTTTAGTTTTAGTTTCGGTATAAAGACCAGTTTTAATTATTATTTTATTATTTTTAAATTTAATTATTATTTTTAGTTTAATTAACTGGCTACTTAGTATTAATAAATATTAAATATTAATATTATAATATATAATATCATATTAATAAATTTTTGACATTTAATTTATCTGAAGCGTATTTAAACACGAATTTTTGAATTCCCTTTATATTACGTGAATGTCAATTAAAGCGGTTTTTATTAATTAATTTGATTTAAATTCAACTAGGCGCATACTGAAAAACGGAAATAATCTTTTCCACCTACGAAATAATTTAAATAGCAACGTCATCGAGGATTCGTTACGTAAAGCGAGGCGATCTCAGCGCTACTAACTTCTGAATCAGTAGACTTTTTTTAACACTGGAAGTATAGAGAGTTGACCATCAGTGGTCGGCTCTTCCGAGTAGCTTGTTCGGCAACCGAGTTATCGCATGAAAACGGGGGCAAATAGTTAAAAATTTTGTTCGTATACCGAATTGTTCGAAAAGCGAGGCGTTCGAAACCCGAGATTTGACTGAATTTAAAAATGAATTTTTGTTGGTTTGTTGAGCTTAAGCTTTAGCACATTTATTGCTAAAGCTTTCACTCAACTTATAGTTTGCCGAAACTGCATATCGCATCATCATTAATTAAAAGCTCCAGACAAGTCCAAGTGCTAAAACCCTATACAGTAATAGTCGGGGATGAATACGTAATGGCACATAAAAAAAGCTCTCGACGCTCTGAAAGCAACTTTACAGATTTACGAGAAAACGCTCGGCTAATGGGAGGAGCGGTAGTAGTTTTGGCAGGACACTTTCGTCAAACATTAGCCGTTATTCCTAGATCAATACCTGCCAACAAGCTTAATGCCTGCCTAATGGTATCATCACTGTGGAATCACGTTAAAAAGTTGTGCCTTTCAACGAACATGAGGGTCCGTCTATTGGGAGACAGAGAATTTTGCTAAGCAAATTCCAGAGCTCTAAGATGAGCTTCTACCTTATCGAATACTTTATCTACAGGTAATCTGTCCCTTCCAGTTGCACGTACTGTACATTTGAGATTATCATCTGAAGTAACTCTTGGACTAAGACTTTCACCAACAGGTCCTTTCCAAAACGCTGTTCAATAGCGTTCTTCGCCTTTAGGTAATAGAGTAAGTTCCACGCGTTCTAGGGCACGTGACCTAGGTAGCATACATTGATCCAGATATTGGAATTTGTCAGGATTATCCAACTCGTCATCTAGGTGGATTCTTTTAAACTGTGACCAAAAGTGCAGCCAATTCCTGAATTCCCCATCAATTTTATTTATTTCTAGTTTTGGGAGTTTATAACTTTGTGCCTTAGCCGCCATATTTGACGGGCTCGTTTCACTTCTATTATTAGCTTTCATACCTCTCAGCTTCTCATTAAGAATCCCACTATCTAGTTCAAATTTACGAATTTCATCCTTTAACATATTAATAGTCTTCGTAAACGAAGCTCTTAAAGCCATTCGCATTTTTTAAGCTTTTCCATTTCGAATATATTTTCGAATTTGACTACAGTCCTGTCGCGGACGACAATTTTATGTCGTTAAACACAAAAGTCACAATTCCAACCGCGCAAAAAGGGAGGAGAAAACGCCTTCACAGGGCGTTTACAAAATTAAAAAATTAATTTTTCGAAATCCACCGTGACCTTAAACTATAATTATACACAGATAAATGATAGTTCAATAAATTCTTTTTTGTGTTTGTAATTTTATAATTTGATGTTCTAATTAAAACTATTTGATTTAAAATTAAAAATAAAAATTTAATTAAACAAAAATTACAAAACTTTATTTGCATATTTTCTTACTATATAACTAACATGGATTTTATTCTGTCGGAAAACTATCGCGAATATTAATTATATAGGTCAGATTTTCGCATTAAAAACATACGAAAATTTCTTTTAAAATATGCGAGATAATGAAAATATAAAATGGAAATTTTTAATTTATTTACAAAATAATTTTCAGAATAATAGGGGAGATCGGGGCAAGATCGGCATGTTAAGCTTTACTTAAATTTTGTGTAATAAATACTGCTGTAAACTGAAAAAAAAGTTTTGCATATTGTCTATTGGAATGTTACCTTACTATAAAACTGGTTAAAATCAGTTTGGAAATAAAAATAATTAAAATAATTACAACTTTACAAGAAGAGAGAAATTGACGAAGTTGCCCCGGGTATAGGGGCAAGATCGGCAACTTCTCTCTTTTTGTAAAGTTGTAATTATTTTAATTATTTTTATTAAAGTTGCCCCTGGTATAGGGGCAACAGTAATGGGGCAAGATAGGCACGTATATAAAATTATGTTATTAACAATGTATAAGTTGGAATTCACTATTAAAACAAAGAAATACAAATCCAACACCCATTTAATATTATTACAACGAAATGCAAGTTCAAAGACATATATACATGAATAACAAATGCAAACATGTTTTCATTTATCATCTGTTTGATTTTTATCCTTTGCTTCTAATGTGGCTTTATGTTGCCGATCTTACCCCGCTAGTCATGATTTCGAAACATTAAGTACAACCCTGAGAACAGAATGCCAAGCCACGATCTGGCCACGTGAATAAGTTGAAGTTACATCCTTCTAACAGGAAAAGTAACTTTCGTTATCATGGAATTATAACAAAACCTGCCAATTCAATATAAATGGAAAAAAAATATTATATGGAATTGAACGAAAATGAAAATTTGCTTGATAATTCAACTACGCTTGTTGGAGAACAATAAAAACACTACACTCAACAAGCCACCAATAAAACTCAACTGCCTAACCTATAACCAAAGTCTCCTTTTAATTTGTTTTAAAAAAAAAGCGCTTGACAAACTTGTCCCGCATGCCGAAGTTGCCCCGATCTCCCCTATACCATTACCACATCGTCTACCAGGCATAGGAGATACAGCAATAGCATCCTTGATTGCAGGCTTAGTGACATCCATTTATCGGTAATCACCTGTGGCCAGTACTTGATTCCAGAAAAACTGTGCAGAGATGTTTTTAAATACGTTTGTAACCACGGCAATCTTGACTGCCGTGGTTACAAACGTATTTAAGAATGTTGACAAGTTAAAACTGAAACCCAATTCGGCGCCTTGTAGACATAATAACAGAGCTGTGGAGTCGCGTAAAAATCTACTGACTTCCCCTCCGACTCCGACTCCGGCTAGGGGCAGACTTGTTACCGAAAGAGACCCGGAAATTCTGATGTCATCACCTGACCTCAGAATAAAAGATTCAATAAATAGAGTTGTAATAAAGATAGAGCGTAGAAACTTTTTATTCCAAAGCTAAAAGACTTTTCTAAGTAATATATAAATATGTATTCGATAATTTTTACTTTTCCGGCTGCTATATATAACAGAGGAAAGTGTAGCGCTCGATCAAAAAATGACTCCTTCCAAATTTTTACATTTTTGGACTCGGGATACCTTGAAATTTTGAGATATGCAAAAGATTCGAGGTTTTTTCTATATGTGTGGATGTTAGACTGTGTGGGGGCATGATTTCGTTCACCCTGTTTGAAGCCTAATAATTTCTGTGGTCAGAGTGGTCAGAATCGGAGTCGGATGGTTTAACACAGGAGTTAGTCATTTAAGTCAAAGTGGTTGAACTAAATCATGTCCCCATATACATTCTAACATCTTAGGCGAGAACATCTTAACGGGTTTTACTGTACTATTATAAAATGGCAAAAAAAAGCTTACTTTGAGGGTAAAGACGAGTTTTATTTTATTTTTTTAAATTTTGAACGCTAATAACGAGTAAAATATTCATTAAAAGATATGACACATGACCACTTTTATGTCTTCACCCTGTCGACCTTTAATTAAGAACCAAAATTTAATAGTATTAATGCCCCTTTATACGCAAGCTATAGTGCCACATTTCGTTTCTTAAACTTTACCCGTTCTGAGATATTGTTTAATATCTCAGAACAGAAAATAAAGAAATTAAACAAATTAGACGCCAACACACGCGCGCGCGAATTTTTTCCCTTTATTGACTTTTTTGAGAGGTTCGGGAAGTCTACAAACGTGTAGATTTGCAAAAAAAAAAAAAAACTTGGAGGGTGAAATTTGACACGATTCCAATACTTTTCCGTTTTATATACATAACAAGTTGGGAAGTAAAAAGGAGTCGGGGTCGGCGGATTTTTTGACGACTCCGACTCCGGCTAAAACGCCTAAACTCTACGACTCCGACTCCACAGCCCTGATAATAAGGCAAAGTGTTGCAATTTTCTATCATTTAATTAATATAAAGCGTTTTATAAAAGTCGATATTTCTTTCCATGATTTTTTCCTTTCCTATTATTGTTCTTCTCTTCTTGTTGTATTGTTTCTATTTATTTTCACGAAAATAAGTAGAAACTATTCTCTTCTTCGAAATCTTCCGGTCGCATATGACGGATCTTTTCTGATATACAGTAGAACCTCGATTATCCGGACTAGTTGGGGATGAAGGTAGCCCGGTTAATGAAAAATTCGGATAATCGAGACAAATACTTTAATTTGTCTTTTAATGATAATACAACACGTTTTCTTTTCAATGACATATCTGTAATATTAAAAATAAATACTGTATTTAAATCGTGATCAAATTTTCAAGAAACAAATGCTTGTATTGAATTTGGACTACTACTGACTAGCGCTAACAGACTACCTATTGTTTAACAGGCCCTCTGGTGGCGCAAGAAGACGGATTTTATAAAATAAAAAGCAGTTGAAAGTGCATTTTTATGAATAAAAATTTAACAAACTATTTATCATTTTATCATGAGTAAAATTTTTTCGTCGCGTTCACTGCTTTTAAATAATGCATAAACCTTCGAGGCGCGAGGCATAGGCGGTGGCCCACGTCGTCCATGCCTTACGTCGCCCTTGGTCATAGAAATGATGTAATTTGAATATAAATTATTTATAAATATGTATGTCAAGTTATATTTTTATAACGACGTAAAATATATTTAAGAGTTTACGACCACTGTGCTGGGTGAGACGTTGTTGAAATAAAAAAAGTTATGCATTCCATCACGTACATAAACAGTATCATAATTCGCCAAGTGCAAATCAGCAAATTCGTAAAATTTTTGTTATTTTGAACAATTCGGATAATCGAGAATCCGGATAATAGAGGTCCGGATAATCGAGGTTCTACTGTACTTCATAAAGGAGTCATGTCCATCGTAGTCAGAAATTTGGTATGCACTGGGTAATCGATTTCTCTGCTTTTCATTTAGAAAATTCTAGAGCTGGAACGCGTTCTGTCTCTGGAAACAAGTACCGGAATGGGCCAATATACCACTCATTAGTTGTCATCAACATTTAAAAACATGTTTACGTGATCTAGGTTTACTTTTTTTCCTGTAATCAATACATATATTAATAATATAGTTTAAAACACATTTTAGCAGATATAATTAATGATTCAAGTGCACGCACTACGAAATTACCTCTAGTCCATTCTATACATGTACAAAATTATAATTGAAAATGCTCGGGACTCCTCCATCAACTGAATTTGGATGTCAGTAAGTTTGCACAAAAAAAAAGTACAACAAATATTATTCAGAAAGCGAATTATATATATTTATTTATTTATTTTAAGAAATGTTTCGTAGTTTGATTTTAGAAATCGCTTTTCATAGTTCATAAGCTTTATTGTAACATAGATTAAGAATATCCTTTTTCGATTGAACTACAAAATAGGAATTCTGTACTACATAGATTATATTTAATTTTTGCACATACTATTTGTTAATGATATATCGCTTATTCATATAAGCCTATTATATAGTTATATAGGCTTATCCATATAAGCCTATTATATATGCATTGCGTTAGTTTATTGTGATGGAAATATCTAGATTTGAATCTAATTCAAACCTCCATAATTCATCGTGGATACTACGGGGCATTGTTGCTATCCCACACGCATATAGAAAGAAAAAAAATGTAATTATAGTTTAAATGCACTAGTGCCCTGTGATCACTAATCATTTAATCCAAGGGGCATCAAATGTATTGGCATAACAGAAGGGAACTCGGAGATTATGTGGCATTTTTAAATCCAAATAGTGTATTTACAAAGATTTAAACACATTTTACAAATTTAAAATAAACTTTCAATTGAAGCTTTTTGTCTCAAATTGTATTCACATTAGGATTCCTGAAACATTTAATACGTGGAGATGTATAATATATCTGCTGCAATTTTGCCATTATATTCATGTACGGCTGAAGAGGGTCTTCGTGGCCGAAATGCATACCAATAATAACAGTGGCTTATCAAACATCAAAGTGTCAAAGTGTTATGTTCCTAATAACAGTGTGATAAGTCTCCACACATATATATCTTCACGAATTAAGTGTTTGAGGAATCCTAATGTAAATTAAACAAACAAAATATAAATAAATTCTCTAAAAAGTATTTAAAATTATTTTCAAGACTATTGTAAACACGGATAACGCCTCACTTTTACTCAACTNTATAATATAGAAAATAAATTGTAACAAATGTAAATAAAATGCTTATAATTTATATTAGAAAACAATTGATAATTTAGTTTCCTACTGCAAAATTCCATTTTCTCCTGTATAAACTTCTTGTACGTGTGGACTAGATGGTAACATAGATATTATTCTATCACATTTTTCTGATACTTCTGCTGGGTGTTGGGCAATAATAGCACCATGATCCGCTAATTTCGTCATTGCCTCAGGATAAACATCATACACTACTAAAGAATGGCCCTTTTCGATGAGATTCCGAGCCATGTGACTCCCCATTTGTCCAAGTCCAATAAATCCAACTGGCACTTTTGATACATTTCTATATGGTAAAACTTGAAAAAGAAAATTATTATTATTGAACAGTTAACAATCAATTATATATTAATAAATCTCACATATTTTAGATAATACTTTAAAGACATTTCATATTCTAATGACTTTTTACTAAATGACATAATTCAAATATTCTATTTGAATATAGACATTTGAATTAAATATTTCAAATAATATTCTGTTTTGTTGGATTAATAATTGCTATTTATTTACGAAATTATTAAATTTTTTAATTCAACATTTCAAGAAGATATTATAAAGTAAGTTTTGAAATTGATTGAAACATGAATTTTTATCATTAAAATTATATATATATATTTGGTTTGTCAATGGTGATTGTAAAATCATGAAGACAAAATTGTGAAAAAAGACAGATTGTGAAGACAGAAAAAATTTTTGTATTAATATATTTTCACTGTGGATTCTTATAGTAAATATAGGTTTATACCACTATCTCAAATGCAATCATGTTTCAGTATCATTTCAGAAAACTTAAAAATTCACCATAACTATTATTTTCCTTTACTCTTATTCAAGTTGAAAATTAGAAGAAAAATTGTAAAGAATTTCACAATTTTTATTTAATTTTTAATCAATAAAGTAACCATAAACTTTAAATAACTATTTTATCTATAAATTTAGCAGACTATAGATAAATGTTTTTGAACTTTGTATTGTGGTTTTACATTAACCCACATTAAACCAGACATATTTACGTCTAGTATAATCCAGTTTAATGTAAATTAGCATTTATATATAATATACAATAGTTATATACACATCTTACTCCTTAATTCATGCAAAATTTAATTACACTGTAAAAAAAACAAGATATTGTTCTATTGATAAATATAACGCTTGTAATTTTATAGATTTTAAAAAATATTGTTTTTTATATAACTGATAAGCAATGACTATAAGAAGCATGAATTCCAGCGTGTCTCGTGTACATCTTGTATATTTCAGCCATGCTGAAATATACAAGATGCGTAAATGCCAGATCTGACTGCACGTATATTATTATTATACAAGATAAAATTTTAAAAAAATATACATATCTTACCCGATATACAATTTGGAGTTAAGTACTTTTTAAAACGTCCATCTCCCTTTTTAATTAATCGACTAGAAATTGAGTGAAACCTACAGAACACAGAAGCCATGGCAATTGATGATAAACTCGCAACTGGCGTGTATATATTGCCGCCAAATATTGCTTAATTTGGCATTTCACAATAGAATAAATAACAATTTGTGTAAATAATAATTATTTTTTTCCTTCAAAAAATAATTAATTTTAACAGCTATTTGATAAATTCAAGAATATTGTAGAATTTTTAAATCAGATTTATGTTTTATGTCAAAAAGAACGATTCAAATCTTATCAGAATATTTTCATCTAATTGAAGGAATTTTCCGGGGCAAGCTGTGTGTTCCAATAAACGACATATTCCATGTGTTATTAAACATTTATATAATATTTTCTGTTTAGAAATTTATCTTCTCTATGAGATATTTCGGTATACAAAACCTTTGTGAATATTTATCCGAATTTCTTAGATTTTAGGGTATATTCGCTGAAGAATAGCAATATAAAGCATAATTGTTATCCACCAACGATTATCGATGTTAAATGTATGTATATATTTTATAATATTCACATAGGATCGAATCCATTTGTTATAAATACTCCAACTACAAAAATTCCGTGTAGTTTAGCTTCTCCTAGACTATTACGTTTTACAAGGAAAAAATTGGCGCTTCGTTGTAAAATGTACGCTTACAATATGTTTAAATCGATTACTTTAAGTCAACACACACAAAAAAAATGGTTAAGGCGTTTCCTGTCATTCTTCTATGATCAAAGCATTTCATAGAAGACCGGCGAAAGATTTTTACGAGAAATCTTCGCATGAACTTCGTTGCTGTAATATACTATTCCACTTGATAAAACTAAAATATAAAAAAAAAATTAAAATTCAACATTGAAAAAATGTAATAATGAACATAACGGTAAATATATTCTAAGATAATAACGAAAATGCCATTTGATTATGATAATGTGTTTTTCTGATTAAGGTGCAATGAATGTAATCAACCCTGAGATATTGCTAACAGGAATATCCTTTTTAATGTCCATCAGAAAAAAGAACAAAAAACCGGTCTTGACAGTATTTTAGAAAAAAAATCGATAATTTTGTTAAATTACAGAACAAAAGAAAAAAAATTGTTCAGCAGTATATCGTAAACATATTGCTTTGTGTATTTTTAATGAAAATAAATTATTGGGCCAACTATAATGAAAATAGATTTTGTCGCATTTATGGAACATCTGTTGTTAAAAATTTCAGAAGAAAGGAAGCCAATAAGATCAGGTATGCAAAATATAGTAAAAAATCGAAAATTAAATTTAAAAAATAAAATAATAAATTATTGTTTTTCATGTAAGAAAACGCATGTGGTGTGTAAACATTGGAAATCTCAACTTTTTCATTAATATCATTAAAATACATGTATTACTTTCACTGAAGTTATATTTCAACCATTGTTTCTTGTGTTCTGAGTCGTGTTTTAACAATGCATCTGACAGAACGAATTGAGAGATTTTCTATAGTTATCATATGACTAAAGTTGTCAACTCTCTCCAACTCTCTCCGATTCATGGGGAACTTCCAGAATTTGTCAAAATTTTAAATTCTCTACCTTCTGAAATTAGGCCTATTCCCCCCTATTTACTAGATAAGATAATCAAATTTTGGGTATACATTAAACAAACTAAAGGACAAGCGTTTTGATGTTGCTAGCAGTAAGAAATGTTAAATCTTCCGAAATTTTTTATTCATGGAATGAGAAACATCCTCTCACGAGTGTATTTTGAGCCATACTAGTGAGTGTTTTCAATAATATGGCTCAAAATTTGTTAGGGACCCGGGAAGGTAATAACAGGTTGTTACTATAACTTGCTTTTTCAGTAAAAGAATGTCGACGCGAGGTAATGAATGACGTAGTGTTGTGTTCGGTGTTGTGTTTCAATTGATTTGATTTTAATTTGATTTTAATTTTAGTTTTAGTTTCGGTATAAAGACCAGTTTTAATTATTATTTTATTATTTTTAAATTTAATTATTATTTTTAGTTGTTTACCAAGTTTCATGAATTTCTATCAATTCCACCTGGGTGTAACACTTTCAATTTCTGCCAATGTATTAATAAATTTTTGACATTTAATTTATCTGAAGCGTATTTAAACACGAATTTTTGAATTCCCTTTATATTACGTGAATGTCAATTAAAGCGGTTTTTATTAATTAATTTGATTTAAATTCAACTAGGCGCATACTGAAAAACGGAAATAATCTTTTCCACCTACGAAATAATTTAAATAGCAACGTCATCGAGGATTCGTTACGTAAAGCGAGGCGATCTCAGCGCTACTAACTTCTGAATCAGTAGACTTTTTTTAACACTGGAAGTATAGAGAGTTGACCATCAGTGGTCGGCTCTTCCGAGTAGCTTGTTCGGCAACCGAGTTATCGCATGAAAACGGGGGCAAATAGTTAAAAATTTTGTTCGTATACCGAATTGTTCGAAAAGCGAGGCGTTCGAAACCCGAGATTTGACTGAATTTAAAAATGAATTTTTGTTGGTTTGTTGAGCTTAAGCTTTAGCACATTTATTGCTAAAGCTTTCACTCAACTTATAGTTTGCCGAAACTGCATATCGCATCATCATTAATTAAAAGCTCCAGACAAGTCCAAGTGCTAAAACCCTATACAGTAATAGTCGGGGATGAATACGTAATGGCACATAAAAAAAGCTCTCGACGCTCTGAAAGCAACTTTACAGATTTACGAGAAAACGCTCGGCTAATGGGAGGAGCGGTAGTAGTTTTGGCAGGACACTTTCGTCAAACATTAGCCGTTATTCCTAGATCAATACCTGCCAACGAGCTTAATGCCTGCCTAATGGTATCATCACTGTGGAATCACGTTAAAAAGTTGTGCCTTTCAACGAACATGAGGGTCCGTCTATTGGGAGACAGAGAATTTTGCTAAGCAAATTCCAGAGCTCTAAGATGAGCTTCTACCTTATCGAATACTTTATCTACAGGTAATCTGTCCCTTCCAGTTGCACGTACTGTACATTTGAGATTATCATCTGAAGTAACTCTTGGACTAAGACTTTCACCAACAGGTCCTTTCCAAAACGCTGTTCAATAGCGTTCTTCGCCTTTAGGTAATAGAGTAAGTTCCACGCGTTCTAGGGCACGTGACCTAGGTAGCATACATTGATCCAGATATTGGAATTTGTCAGGATTATCCAACTCGTCATCTAGGTGGATTCTTTTAAACTGTGACCAAAAGTGCAGCCAATTCCTGAATTCCCCATCAATTTTATTTATTTCTAGTTTTGGGAGTTTATAACTTTGTGCCTTAGCCGCCATATTTGACGGGCTCGTTTCACTTCTATTATTAGCTTTCATACCTCTCAGCTTCTCATTAAGAATCCCACTATCTAGTTCAAATTTACGAATTTCATCCTTTAACATATTAATAGTCTTCGTAAACGAAGCTCTTAAAGCCATTCGCATTTTTTAAGCTTTTCCATTTCGAATATATTTTCGAATTTGACTACAGTCCTGTCGCGGACGACAATTTTATGTCGTTAAACACAAAAGTCACAATTCCAACCGCGCAAAAAGGGAGGAGAAAACGCCTTCACAGGGCGTTTACAAAATTAAAAAATTAATTTTTCGAAATTCACCGTGACCTTAAACTATAATTATACACAGATAAATGATAGTTCAATAAATTCTTTTTTGTGTTTGTAATTTTATAATTTGATGTTCTAATTAAAACTATTTGATTTAAAATTAAAAATAAAAATTTAATTAAACAAAAATTACAAAACTTTATTTGCATATTTTCTTACTATATAACTAACATGGATTTTATTCTGTCGGAAAACTATCGCGAATATTAATTATATAGGTCAGATTTTCGCATTAAAAACATACGAAAATTTCTTTTAAAATATGCGAGATAATGAAAATATAAAATGGAAATTTTTAATTTATTTACAAAATAATTTTCAGAATAATAGGGGAGATCGGGGCAAGATCGGCATGTTAAGCTTTACTTAAATTTTGTGTAATAAATACTGCTGTAAACTGAAAAAAAAGTTTTGCATATTGTCTATTGGAATGTTACCTTACTATAAAACTGGTTAAAATCAGTTTGGAAATAAAAATAATTAAAATAATTACAACTTTACAAGAAGAGAGAAATTGACGAAGTTGCCCCGGGTATAGGGGCAAGATCGGCAACTTCTCTCTTTTTGTAAAGTTGTAATTATTTTAATTATTTTTATTAAAGTTGCCC